AGGGGGGGGGGGAGATTGGGCATTCGACTGCCCACAAGCCAAGAGCAACGTATGGCCTGGATATAAAGTCTCGAGCAAGTGGAGACGTCCGAGTTCGTATCCCACATGACGGTACATCTGTTCCACTCGCCTAGAAAAAACATAATATATTGTCGATTTGATACAAATTTGGGGAGGGATCTGATTGGTTGAATTTCATTGAGAAGGTTTTGATTGACTATTAATTTTAAGCTCATCTGAGGTAGCCAATCAAATCGATTTAAATTCCAACGAGAAACCACGCTACAACACGAAAATTCACTCGAAACCACAATATGTAATCATGCGTATGATACAGTATTATATAATACGATGGACATGAATCTATTAAAAAATATGAATATGGGAGACGATATCAATGGAGAAAACGCTAGCATAACACACATTATTGTCAAGTCCATTCGAAATTTTTGGAACAGTGGGGTGCTTGCTCAATCGAATGAGCTGCACCAAATACATTGGCAGACAATCGACCAATCCAAACCGAGAACACTAATCAAGTACCCAATCAAATCCATTCTTCGACCAATGCAACGTCGAATTAATGTGTGAATCAAATCAGGGTGAGACTGGACAATCTTTACATACAAAAGTCAGGACAAAGAATCGATCGATAGATTTGGCATAGAATCCACACAAAAGTCCACCAAATTTAGAGTAAAAGGACAATATATATACATCAATATGCATACTATAAACAATGCAACTACATTTATATAGACGAAATGACACAAGACACATACCCGTACGAGCATAAATAAATACATTATTGATATTATACGTAAATGTGTGAAACAATACCCCATATATCCATCAGTGCTATTATAACACGTTATAAATATACATCCGATGTAGCAATATATATATATATACACATGCATTGAATGCAACTATATATGTTGTTGTGTTTGACATGGAGAACGAATAAATCCACACATCCAAATGGACAGACGAATCGGCCATTTAGCCAATCAGATTGCAGGAAACCATCACCAACATGCAATTAGTGATTGACCTCAATTAGTGTGATACACATCCTCACAGGACACGTTTTTACTTTCACCATTCAGTACAAAGAACATGGATCGGTAGATTTGGCGAATCCGGGCACACAAAAGTCCAAATATTTCGAGTAGAATGCACAAAATCTCAATACATCACAAACATGACACACATACCAGTACGTGCGCGGTTGAATGGCAGTGTCTGGTGATACAAGTGCGTGGGGGGGCAGTGGAAACGTCAACGGATGCATGGCAATGCCCAAGAGGTACGCCAGCTTGTCGTTGGAAAGGGGAGCGTGCTGCTGCTGCTGGTCCATCGACCGGAGCCACACTTTAAAGAACCAATTCGACATGGCCAAACACGACGCCGAAGTGGCGACTTGCTCGACCAGCGACAGCATCGACGGGTCTAGTCCAAGTGTCGTGGGGGGGTGCTTGCAAGGAAAGTGCAGCAGGCCCGCAGTCACATGCACCACATAAAACGGCGTGGCCGCACTTCGCGACCGAAATAAACATCGACACGTCTACAATAGTGACACATGCATCAATCATCTATACCTATATATATATATATATATTATATATATATAGGTCGTACGGCTCGCAATGTCTTGTCGCGATGCACAGACAACACGATCCCGTCCGTGACGGGCACCACCACACTCGGCGACGTCATGCGGACAGTGTGCCCGATGCTGATTTTAGAGCAATCTTGCGCAAACAGAATCAAACTTCCCAGGCCCAGGAGCTGCGCCTGGGTCTGTTGGACGTGGGTGGAACTACTCATGGCATTGGCAGCGGCACTCGACAGCCAAGAGGCCACGGTGGACTGCATCGACCACGCCTCTACCGCCGCGGCCGCCGCCTCCACCGCCGGTAGCGTCGGCGCATACACGGACAAGGTCGGCTTGAGCGCCAATTCCAGACGTGCTTGATTCTGGACCAAGTAAGGCTCGACAGTGACCAGCGTGGGGTCTTGGTGCATGGCCGCGAGCACCGTGATAAACTCGAGCAGAATGGGCATGGGTTGGATCCGTGGAAGCATAGTCTACAAGAGATTGTGACGAAGACAATTGAGGAAATACACAACATACTACGTCAAACACTGTACCTGGAGTCCGTGTACGAGATGGTGTTGTGTCCCATGCGAAAACAAGTGCAGTTGAGTGCATACAAGCGTACAGACCGTGGAAAGACAAGGGAAAAGATCTTCAGGAGAACAAGGGGGCAATCGCTCCAAGCACAGACACACTAGGCGATGGCCTCGCCGCACACTGTCGTCGTTGGCTTGCATGAGCCACTGGTGGAACTGATTTAGTATGAGCTCCACCACCGACTGGGTCTGTAAGCACTCTAGCGTCAGAAACAGCGCCGTCGTCCACGCTTCCGATGACATCTCTGCCGCGTCAAACAGACTCGCAACGGCTCCTAGGGATCCATCCCATCTCTTGTTTAGATAATATAGTGTCATATATATATATATAGTTGATGATTCGACATTGAAGGAGTGAGGAGCTGGTCAATCGAATGAGCAGCACCAAATAATCGATCGACCAATCAAACACTCAGAACACGAATCAAGGAGCCAATCAAAAAATTCTCGCTTCAGTCATTCCACATCGATCTCATTGTTGGCTGAAATCAGAGGGCGCTTCTTTAGAAACACAAATTTCAGGACAAGAAATCGATACGATGAAATTGGTAAATCAGCACCAAAACCCATATTATATTTTACTAAGAGCACAATATATATATATATTACAAACCTGCGGCGGCGGGACACGGCTCGACCGAGTGAATCGACTTGGGTTGTCGCCATAGCCGGTATAAACTGTCGGCAATCGTGCCGGCGTCCCGTGTCCACGTGTGCGTCGCTTGGAGCAATTTGCTCCACCACTTTCCGTATCGAATCGACGACGCAGGGCGCTGCTGAAACAACATCGTCAACGCATCCACGGCAATGTGCTGGCACGTCGGCAGCACCGGACGACCCGTTTGCAAATGGCGTTCAAGTACCACGAGCCCAATCATTTCGAGCCACGCGGCACGGCGCAGACGCAGCACCCTCTGTCGCAGATTCTCCGACAGTTTGGTTCCGTGCATGCGCTTGAGAAAGCCAAACACTTGGTGGAGCACAAACTCTTCCTGCGTATGTATGGCCCACAGATCAAAGCCAGGGCCGTCTGCAAACACTTGGAGCAAGAACGACGCCCATAACTCGACGTTTTCCAGCGACTCGGTGGACGGGTGCTGGCTTTGCTGGTGCAGCCACTGGTGGAACGACTGGAACTCCTTGCGCAGGCGCGGCCACGCTGGATGGTCTGCATTGGATGCTGCGGCGGCTAACAGTCCAGATACTACCAATGCAAGCCCCACTACTTTACGCTCGACTTGCATGCGACGGATCGATCGCGTCGGGACCGGTCCCAGGCGTTGAGTGAACCACATGCAGTCGCTTTCGCCTTCGTTGTGTACCTACCCATCGAGATGAATCCAAGAATTTCCCATTTTGTGAAATTGCCAAGTCGATATATTCGAAATACGAGGGTTTAGGTGCTCAATGAGCAGAATCACCAAAAATCGGCAGACAATCGATATATTCGACCAATCAAAACCCAGATCACGAATCAAGTAGCCAATCAAAGTATCCACTCTCGGACCAAATCAACATTATTACTGTGTGACTTCCATCACTGTGAGCCTGGACGATGTTTACATACAAAAGTCAATACAAACAATCGATCGAACAACATAGATTTGGCAAAGAATCAGCACAAACCAAGGGTAAAAGGACTATATATATATATATATATAGATCGCCGCACCAGAGAGTGCAGAAACTCGTGCGACAAGGCCGTCGCGGTGGCGTCGACGTCGTCCAGCGTACACGACACCAACGAGTGGACCACGGGCACTTCAGACGGGAACACTCGGGCATGGGCAAACTGGACGTGGCCTTGGACACAGGGCAAGCCGTACAAGAAATCAGCGTCGTCGTCGTTCTCGTCTTTCGATGGAGCGACGATCAAATGGCCCAGGCAAGCGTGGTACAAGTAGAACGGATGGCGCACCCACAGTACGTCCGAGCTGGCCTGGACTTCGAACCGACAGCTCGTGTACGACGGGTAATGCAGATTGCCCTGGGGTTGCGCCGAGTATGGCGAGTACCAGAACAGTTTCTTCATGCGGCAGTAGACCATGCATTTGAGCCACGGCTCCAACTGCGCCGCGTGGTCGGCGAGGTCGGCCGACGTCGTGTACACGTGATGGGTGATGGGGCAGTGAAACTCGAGCGGAGGTGCTGCTGACGACCCGCCAGGTTTCGACGGCGTCGACGCCATCGCTTCCAGCTGCAGCATGTGGTGGGTCGCAGTCAACTGGTGGTGGCGCTGGTCGCAGAGGAGGATGTACTGGGCGAGGACGTCGGCCGCGTCCAGCAAACTCTGGCGCGACGACTCGCGGCCAATGTACTCCAAATGGTACCATCCCGATGTGCTCACAGTCCACCCCAGAGACAAGAGCACCGCCATCGCCCCTTTCCACCGCATGAGCTTTTGTTGCACGTCCGCATGCAAGATCTATCCATATATATAAATGTCATAAAAGACGATCGAATTATATATATATATATACTCCGCTCATAAAAGTCGATCGAATTATATATATATATATATATATATACTCGCAACACTGTTTATTCACATACAACAAATCTTGGTGGCATTTCGAAACATATTATATGTGATATCGTCCGGAACATTATTTTTTTCTCCATACAACTATATATATATCAGAAGCTGTATGTATATATACATTATCATGCCGACGAATTTGTATACATATATATATATATCCACACAATAGAATCATTTTCGTGGTGGACCATGGAGGTTCTCGTTGTATACATTGGACGCAGTGATAATATATATATATATATATAATACCTGGACGGGGGTGTCGGTGCTAGGGGTTTGGACAGTGGCGATGGTCATTTGGAGTTCAACGAGCAACGCCAAGCTGGTTTTGATGCAGTCGGTCTCCATTTCAATCTGAAGCAGCGGCAGTTGCGTCGGATTCTCGGCCACAAACACCAGCACAGACGCAAACGAATGACACCGAGACACGCGGACCAGTTCGTTGGCTGCTTGGAAACTCAGGTCGAAATACGCCATTAAGCTCGTACTCGTGGAATCTACAACCATATTGTTTATGTCGTTTTATATACACACATTGTGTTGCAAGGATTGAATCCATTCATTCAATATTCTGGACATAATATATATATATAGATGAATATTCTTGGGTGTTCCAACACAAAGTAGTATCCAAGCGAGAATCTCCACCTCCTCGACAACAACCACATGAAAACAACATAGACTACCCAAGGATCCCTATATATATGTGGGCAAATACCTATCAATATATATAAATAAGTCGTTGTGTACGTACCTGACAACTCCCAATTGAGCAAACTCGTGGGGTTGATCACATCCGTGGACGAGCCTGTGATGGCACTGTGCACATTTTCGAGCATGGCTTTGATAGCGTGTGCAAAGTCCAGTTGTTGGCGGTCCGCGTCGGGTTCCCGATACAACGTACGTTGCCGTTTCAGTGGAATGCGCGCAGTCATGATGGAGTTTCCATGGGACGACGATGCATCATCGTCCGAGTGCGGCCGTTTCTTGTGGAGATGCACGGGCGGCGGCGGCGCCGACAGGTCCGCCCGATCGGTTGAAAGGAACGCTAGGGCTATTGTGTTCAACGAAGTGTTGACGTTTTGCAGCAGCGGCAGACATTCCAGGGCCAAATGCGTCGAAAAGCCACCGTCGTCCTAGTAGTGGCAACATCACGTTACAAGTCAACGTAGCTTTATAGTATAGACAGCCTTCGATCAAGCGAGTAGCGATCTACTGTAGAGGCTTTCTTCACCAGTCCGAGATTCGATTAAAAATAGTGTGGATTCGACGCTATGGGCGAAGATTCCACTATATTTTGAATGGATCGGATTGGCTGTTCCAGAAACGACAAGGGAGATATTCTGCCAATCAGAACTTCCACCGTGATTCAAGGTCGGTTCAAAACCCCGCGCGAATCGTGAATGCACAATACATATATATATATATATATCGTGGTGGTTAAACTGGAGCATATATATATATATATATATATATATATCGTGGTGTTTAAACTGGAGTGACATGGAGGATATGAATCGACACTACCAGATAAATATACAAAAGAATCGGCAGAAGGATATATTTAGCCAATCAGATTGCATTAAATTGTCGTCCACATGCAATTAGTGTGCGACTTTATAATTACTGTGATACCAATCACCACAACCGGACAACTTGCAAACTTCAAAAACAAGGAATCGATCGATCATAGATATTTGTCGAATCAGCCTAAAAGTCCAAATATTTTGGGGAAAATGATAATATTTACGTACATTCGACGCAGCTCCATGCTGTAGCAACGCCACGAGGCCGCCATACAGGGACGCATACACGAGATGGCTGAGCGAGTCCAACGTACTTTGCGCGTCGTCTTTCGAAGTGGCGATGCGATGCACGAGCGCTTCCAACATGAGTTTGGTGTGGCTTACGAATGTGTCTTGTAAGATCGGCCGGTGGTCGTCCGAGATGTTGGCTGACGGAGACAGGAGCAGCGACAGCAAGATGGATTGACTCACGTACACGTCTTCTTCCACGTCGAGATGGACAGGTTCCTTCGAGAACAACCCAATGGGTATATTGTTCAAGGACGAGGATGTCGTCGTCGTCGCGGTGGTGGTAGTAGCAGTTGTAGCAGCGACCTGAAGGAAAGGCAGTCACGTGCATGCGATCGTCTGTAGTTTCTCCCTACCTCGTGCCGCTCGAATGACATGTCCGACGGGGACGGCGACGCCATCGCGTCCAAGAACGTCGCCCGACGCCGAAACAGCACGTTCTCAACAAATCCTTGGTCGATGGGTTGCGTGAGCTCAAGCCCGATAGCTTGGGGAATGAACAGCGGCGCCACGTATTCAAAATAGACCTGTCGAGCATGCATGTACATCAGTCTTAGAAGAGCATGGCGGTGGTGGACGGCGTACTTGTCTCGTCGTGTTACACTCGGTGAGGAGCAACTGGTGCACGGTATCCACGCCGAACAGTTTGGACACCCCTGGCGCCCACACGACGTCTGCGAATGTGCTTGCCATTTTATCCTCCACACGGAACTCCTTGCATATCTACGATGGCGTTCATGACGACTTGGGGGCCACGCGAATCCTACGGTACCTCCATGTGGCCGCAGTCGGCGGTCTTGGCGCAAACAGCAGAACTGGAAATCCAGCATATAGAAGTTTATCCGGATAGGTACCTCCGGATAAATGCGACACACACACACATTCTCAAATTGCAGCAGCGGGAATGAACTGTACATGTGCTGTACAGTAAGTACAGTATGTCCTCTTAGTCGGTGTTAAGTCGAAATGCTGCAGACTACTTTGGCATGGGAGTGTTTCTTCATTGAAAGGCACACGTCTTCTTCAGCGTCTTGTGTATCGGCCGGTAGAGTCATGTTTGGAGTCGATGTGATTGCGGCAAGCCAGTCACGGCTGAAGAGGTCGGCCACCTTGGACGTCACGAGCTCACCGAAGCGCGGATGCCAGCGCATGAGCACCGCGACTTGGTAGATCTGAATCACGGCCATGCATGCCCACAATAAGACAACAAGGGCGCGACCATGTCGTTGGACGAACCGCAGAGCCCATCCGTCGACCCCCATCCACGCAAGACAAGCAACAACGTCCTCGATCTTCGAAACGTCACGTCTCCGGATATTACTCAAATACGGATAACATCCGAACAACGCGATGGGCCTTTTTATCATGACCAAATCACGGATACTTATTGGTTAAAAATATACTCGTGTCTCAAACGTGAAACCGTTTCGTGGTTTCAAATGTCAAGTAAAACTGCTGGTCCGTTGTTATCTTGACGTACGAGGCGATATGTCCGACGAAGAGGAGAAGGATGCAGCAGCGGTGGCGGCGGTCCTTCCGTCGACGACGAGGGGAGTTCAGCCGAGGCAGCCTCTCTCCATCCACATCCACGACACGTCCAACTCGTTGTCGAGACGCGCGACCATCTCGACGGTGTCGTCCCGCATCCCCGTGTTGCGATGCACCAGTCCACCAAAGATGACCCTTCATCCTCAGTCAAAGCAGCTATCGTTCAAAGAACAGGACGAGAAACTCGTCGACTCCACGACTACAGAGAGGTACTGACTGACTATACTACTACCATCAAGCACGAAGGTAGTACATGAACGACTAGTGTCCTAGTGCTGTGTTGTTCGAGATCCTTCAAGGAGCAGACCCCGTTAGTGTGGAATGCTTGGAGATTGGTCGGTCTATCACGAGCGACGTTGTCAAGCCATCATTGTGGAAGTTGAAGTCCCTTGACACGCTGAGCTCGTTGACGAACGTCGTGACGCTCGACGTGAGTGGCCATAGCATCTACACCATGGACGGGTTGGACCTTTTTGTGCACCTCCAGCATTTAAACCTGGCCCGGAACAACATCAAAGTGCTCAAGCTGCCGAAACCATGTGTGCTGGTAAACTTATAAACTGCGACACACCACCCACATTTGACGTTTTGTCGGGGCTTACGATGGGTAGGAAACGCTGGACGTGTCTGGCAACTACATCAGTCACATTCCAAAGTCGATCCAACAACTCACACGCTTGCAATGCCTGAATCTGTCTGGCAATGGTTTGGCTGTGCTCAAACAAGTGGAAATCCTCGCGCCACTGATCAACTTGCACACGGTACGGTCCAACGTCTGTAGGGTAGTTCATATGAGCACCAGAAGTATTATATATATTCTCTTGGTGTTATGAATCAAATTGTCTTTTTTTACCCAAAATTTGGACTTTTGTGCGGATTCTTTGCCAAATCTATCTATCGATCGATTCTTTGTACTGACTTTTGCATGTAAAAATCGTCTAGTGTTAATTTAAGTCACTAATTCGAAGTTGAATTGGTCGAAGAGGGGGTTTGATTGGCTGCTTGATTCTTGATCTGGTTTTAATTTGTCGATCGATTATCTGCCGATGTGGTTGTTCGGCTCATTTGATTGACCAATTTTGAAATCGACTAGACAATATACACAAACCTCTAATACAGTCGTGTGTACGAAATGTGTATATTGTAGCTGCACCTGTGCGCCAACCCGCTGTCGGTACTTCAAAGCTACCGAGACTATGTTGTGTTTACGCTCTTGGCGTTGTCCACCCTCGACGGCCAGCCCGTGCGTAGCTAGTTTGAATAGTTCTATATTAAAGTCAATGTGTTAAAAATTAGATCACTGTGGACCAGCGAGAGAGGAGCCGTCGACGGTTCACGGGTCCGTTACCCCATGACGAAATCCGTCGAGAGTCGGATCGGTTGATCCACCAAGATCAACTCGAGTAAGAGCGTTTCATACGTATGAGTCCCATTTGCACCTGTGGTGCTCGTAGGCTCGAGGAGAAGCAAGACTTGTTGGAAGCTGAAAACGCAAGGTTGAAAACAGAACTGCACGTCAAGTCGCAACTGCTAGACAACAAGTCCAAGGAATGGTCCAGTGCCACGCATCAACTGCTCCAAGTCGAGCAGGAACTCGCCATGATCCACATCGACCGCAACTTGCCCGACAGCCCCACGCACCAACGCTACAGCGCCCTCCACGACCACGTGAATCACCACCTCGGCCATCCCAACACGACACACAAAGACGGAACCTGTGCAGACCAACACTCTTCCGCCTTGTCGTCGACGCCCGCCGGCGCTTTTGACGGTAACGCCCTCCGTCTTGTGCATCAAGTATCGGTCCTTCGTCAAAATCAGGACTCGATGAGGGCCGAGCGGTCGGACGTGGCGGCGGAAGCCACCGCCATTCGCAACGAAATCGTGCTCCTTGACAACGAAATCTCCGTGCTCAAGCAGGCGCTAGTGGGCGAGCAGCACACCCACACGTCGTCCGTGCGTCCTATATATATAAATACATATATATATATATTAAAAATACATGAATATATTTATATATTAAAAATACATGAATATATTTATATATTAAAAATTTGTATATTTATATATTAAAAACTTGTATATTTATATATTAAAAATATGTATATTTATATATTACAAACTTATATCTATCTATCAGAAATTTGAAATAGAAATTTTCATATATTATAATATATATATATTAAAAATAATATGTATCCTATGACTACGCGTGTACGTACATAGATGGAACAGACACGGGACGACCCGACGTACTTTTACGACGACGGACGGGCGCGACTCGAGGAGCTGCAGACGCAAATCGCATTTGCCGACGTCGAAGCCTCCGAACTCGAACAGCGCTTGGTGCAAAAGACAAAGGAAATGCTCGTGGCGGATTTGCGGGTGTCGTCCGCCACGGCGCCGCCACGTCATCCGAGGGATGGACGGGGACACGAGAGGCAGCGGATGGTGGGTGTGTTTGACAAGGAGATCTCCGCCTTGAGCTATAAACTTGAGCGCATGACCACTCAAAAAGCAGAATGGGTCGACGAGCTGCACAAACTTCAAACGTCGACGCAGGTCACAACCAACTCTCTCCCTTTTGAATTCATTGAAAACTGAACCACCACGGATCCGAAAGTTTTGAAATAAATCATAAATAGCTGCCCGTGCTCCGGTTAAAGCAAGTCGAGAAGCATTGCCCGACCAGTCCCCGCGACGCCCTTCGCAAAACGTTTCGGAAATGCGAGGACACGGCGGCTATTCCCCCCGAAACGAGTCTGTTTACCATGCTCGTGAGTGAAAAGCTGGCGCATTTGCAAGCGCTGCAGCAGCGTCGGCTGGACTTGGTGGACATGCTCATGACAAGAGAGGCCACCCTTCAAGCGCTGGAAGACCATTTAGCGCGCATTGATAAGGAGCTCGCCGACATTGGACATACCCCAACCTCCGATCCGTACGTCTTCCTTATATGGAGAAACTAATTTGGTGTGTAATATTCTTGATTTGGAACGAATTTCCACACCCCGTTCAAGCACGATCACGAACGAATCGCTCCCATTGGTCACTCTGAAATTAATGCTGCTCGCTGATTGGCTACATTAACTTTTTTTATTTACTTGGTGCTTTCTGCGGAATCGGCAACGCCAATAACAGTCGAGATTTGTGATCGGTTTTACAAAGTGGGAAATTTGTAGCAAATTCATTTCACCTATCCGTGTTCATTCCTTTAGAAGCTATTCTCTCATCTGTCCGTGTCCATGCATTTATAACCGATTGTTTATCCACCAGTGTTCGTACCAAACCCAGTCGAAATATCATCGAATGGGGCGATGATATTGCAAGTTGATTCGAAATTGATTGTGAAGTGGAGTGCTCACAATCACAATGAGCAGTACCAAATCTACCGACAATCGATCGCCCAATCAAAACCCAGATCAAGCCAATCAAACCCATTCTTCGACAAATTAAACATGCAATTAGTGTGTGGCTTAAATTAGTGTGAATCTGGACGATTTTTACAAAAGCCAGTACAAAGAATCGATCGATAGCGGCACAAAAGTCCTAATTTTGGGTAAAAGGACAATATTACATCTTTCTATGTGTGTGGGCTTGCTTTCATCGATCAGTCTTCCGTCGTGTAGAACCTATGGTTTCAATTTGATCCGTATTTGTTCATATATATATTATATAATAACCCAACATATTAGAACCCACAACAACAACCAGTCCCCGTCGACCGCGAATCCATTTGCGCTCACATCGCCGCAGGCCATCCTGGACCACTTGAAGCAGCATGTGCTCGCCCATGTCTCGACAGAGTTGAGCAAGAAGGACGACCAGCCCAGTAGTTCGTCCCCCAATGCTTCGCCCTCCCGTCGGTCCCCTCTACATCGAAATTCCGCCGAGAAACCAACCAATCCATATTACGCCTACGTCCCCAACTACCACATCGTGCCAGGAGTGGACTTGATGTCTGCCAATTACACGTTGTTGAGTAGTGCCACAGGGCCATTCGCATTCGATGTCCACACACGGTACGCCGCCCGTCATAATAAAAACACGACGAAAACACAAAAAGACAAATATATATATATATATGATAGGCTGCTCTTGGCATGTAAGAAACTGCAGCAAACTGAACGGACGACATTGATTGACGCGACCACATACATGGACATGGACCCACAGTCGACTACGAATCGATTGGCCAGTCGATTGGAAGTGACGTTGATCGCAGCAACCAACTTGCCGCGCACGCGTCGATTGCACAGCACATGTGACCCGTATGTCCTTTTGCACTTGGAGCACCAAAACATGTAAGAATTGTCTCGAATATATATATATTTTATAATATATATATATATACTGGAAACTACAACTGTACTGTGAATATATTTGGGCTCTAGTGAAAGCGGTCAATGGGAACGGTACCACCCCACCAACGCATATCGGAGCAACACCAAGCCCAACACGTTGTACCCGTTGTGGGAAGAACCGTTTGTGTTTACACCCATCGAGTCCATGTCCACGAGAGTGTGCATCACCGTCATGGACGACAAGAAGACCGCGGACCGACACGAAAAACTCGGTGACACCTCTATCGAATTGCGGTCGCTGCTCGATCAAAAGCGGCGAGTGGCGTGGTAGAATATATATGTATATATATATTATGTTTCTTAGCGATCCGTCCGATGATGATAGGTACCCGCTGTCGCCGGCGCAGTCAAAAGACCGACCCCAACCCGCCGTACGCCTTCGATTGCGGTTCCTGTACAACAAGGCGGACCGATTGAGGCGGGCAGTTGATCGCCTTGTCGCAGAGTTTACTGCTGAACGGCACGACTTGCCTTGGTTTTTGACTTTAAGTACAGACCCGATCACGAGTGGCGAGTCTACTCAAGTACCATCAGAACCATCAGAACCTCCATTCGAGACTTCGACCAGTACAAAGCCGCCATTTCGATTGGACTTCAAGCAGGACGCAACAATTCCTTCTAGTCCGTTTACGTTGTCCTCCCAACAAGAGGTCCTAGCTTCACATGGACCAACAAGGACGGGGAGACCGAAACTAGAACAACCTATGGACGCATACCGAGAAATATTCCAAGCTCGAAAGATGTACCCAAAAGTCAAAGCCAAGCGCATTGTGGGTATGCTGAACCTTCCAAAAATGAGATATATATTTATATATATATATATGTAAATAAACACATGTAAATATATATATATATATATCATATATTACATATATGTAAATATATTTTTATATATTTTTATATCTATCATATATTACATATATGTAAATATTTATATATATATCACGTACAATAGGATGCTTTGACCGAGACAGTCCATACCATCCGCACCGCGTGGCCGATGTCGTCAAAGCTATGCCAGTTAACTTTAAGATCTTCAGACAACCATCACAGGCTCCTCGGGGTATGTTACTGATTCATCCATGTATAAAAAATATATATTAGAGACATATCAATAAATATATATTTATATTAGACACAACTCAAGCCATTCCCGACCGATATTTCGGCCTTACAACAGATAAATCGGAGAGACTCAAACAAATGTTTGGGAAAATGAACAACGACAGTCGAAAGTACCATGGCCACGCGGTCGGATTTCAATGGCACAAGGCGCACCTGACGAAGTCGTAGGCTAATTATACTGCTAGTATTTAAGTTTTGTTCTCTACAGTGTGTAATTCTACTGCTATTAACGACGTTACTACGTACCGGTAGTGTAATTTTGCTTCCGGAGTATTTTAATATTGATGAATATACTGTGTACCCGGAGATTCGCACTGATTCGCCAAATCTATCGATCGATTCTTGAACTGAATTTGGTATTTAAAGAATTGGGAATTGTGCAGATAAACTACAACTACTGTAGTAGTAGAACCTTTCTAGTCTAGACCAGTATATGTAAGTAATACTTCGAAGGACCATCTACTACTAATAGTACCTTGGGTAGTAGTACTAGCTAGTACTACCAACCCAGTACTAGGATGTGCGGCATATTACTGTCCATCACAGTCGATTTCAGCCCAAGAAAATTACTTTGTAAGCTTACACTGTACATGATTGGTGATATTCGTTAGTGACAGGAGTACGGCAAATACCGTTAGTCGGCCACCGAAGCGCTAAAAAGTCTTGTTGTGTATCCCCACAATTTCTTTCCATAGTAGTAATATATTTCACGGTTATAATAACATGCGTCACCTCCCGCTATAATATAATTTAGTATAGTACGTCGACATTCCACCACTCCAATCGTGTGAGAACCAACGTGCGTGGGTGTAATAAACCTCTATCACTTTGTGGAGGTGAATCTATCGTGGTGGCGGCTTGGGAGGGCCCCCATCGCATCGTCTACCTCTTCTTCGTGCACCATCTCCATGCCGGCGCCGCCGCCGAGCACGTTGAATCCCCGCACATATGAATGCTCCACGAGCGGCGAAAGCGCGTAGTTGAGGTATCCGTTGCCTTCGTCAAACGACGGGGGCGGGTCTAAGCTGGAAAAACTCACAGACCTGCCAAAGTCAAGCTCGTCTTCCACCAGTGGAGATATGGCAAAGTTGAGGTAGCTGGGGGTGGTCGACTTGTCAAGGGATTCGGAGGTGGGCGTTGGCGACGGCACGGTCGATGGCACCTCGGACAGCGGGGACACGGACTCGGACGAGTAATGCGTGAGCTTCAAGTCATAGTTGGTTGATGGAGGAATCGCAGCAGCAGCGACATGCGGCGGCTGCGGCTGGTACGCAGGATGATGGAGGCTCGCGTTGAGGTCGATGTCGTGGAAGGACGAGTGCTGCCGCCGGGTAGTCCCGGTCGAGTACTGACTTGGCACCCGGTGGTTGGCGGCTGTGGTACGAGATGGCTCGCGCTCGTAGCTGTTAACGCGCGACCGCACAATGTACGCGCCGGCATACGTGGCGATCTGCTGTTCGGTGCGCTCTTTCTGCCGCCGGCGGTGCAAGCAACACCCCCATACGACCAAGAGAAGCAGGAGAACGACTCCACCGCCAATGCCGAGCGCGATGGGCGTCCAATTGGTTTCGGAAACCGGCTGGACCACCAGCTGCAGGTTGCGGTATGTCACGAGGTCAATGTACGCAGGTTGGGTGACGTTTTCCTTGGTGTAGTTGGACAACACGGTGGCAGTAGCTACGAGTGTAAACTGGCCCGGGTCTAATGGCAGCTTGACGGCGGTGGCGGAGAACGAAGCCGTGCCCGTGGAAGCAAACTTGGTGCCTTGGATGGGACCAGCCAACAAATCGATTCGATTCGCACAATGCAGTCGACGGTCGGTGCCTGGACACAGGTACAACGACGAGTGGACAACGTTGGTGGTCAATGGATTGATGGGTTTGAACGTCACAGACGACTTCGTGACGGCCAGTGACCACGACAACGGCATCGAGTCGCCCACAACGGAGGGCGACTGGAATGGCGCGATGGCCACATTAGCCGGACATAGCCCACCGTTGGCCTTGTCGAGACTCCCGCTGGCGTCGTCTTTGACGGAGGCAAAGCAGTACGTCGTGACGTCGTCCACAGCAGCCGCCGCCATGGTGACAGCGCGCAATGACGGAGGAAATGGTGGACTGCATATTAGCTGCCTCGCGCCAGCTGGCGAGCTGGTTACTCACTGTCGGACATTGCGATTGCATTATTTTTATTCGAAGGAATTATATCGAATACGAACCTCAAGAGGAATTCAAGTTTCTGATTTAAATTCGCATCACTATTATTTCTTGCTGATTGAATTGGATGAGTATTTTCGTTCGATCAGTACATTGCGACATTTCATTCGCTTGGACCAAGCGTACAAGAATACTACGTATTAGTAACTTCGATTGTTTATATCCAGCATTTTACGCATCGTAGCTACTCCAGTACTACTAGAGAGGATTTTTGCAAGTGTTCGCGTTCTGCTCCGAACTATGCTTTTTGTGTCAGATGCAGTTCCATTGGAATATCATACTGCGAAGTGGTTGTCTTGCACGAGTTCTGCTCACAAATACCCGTATAAGTAAACATTATTCGGACCGCGAAAACACTTTGCGATGGTCCTGTGGAAGTTGTCCTTGGCTGCCCCCTTCGTGAAAACAATGACACATCGACGTCGTTTCTGAGTGCTGTGTGCGTTAAGCTACTAGTGCGTTGAGCGCCCAGTTATCCTAGACATTCGGCACAACCTTAATGCTGTGTCCGAGGCCAACGCACTGCCAGACTTTCGCTTCGACGTCATGGGAATCAAGAAGTTGGGCTACCTACTGTACTTGCCCAACTTCTCGATTCCCATGTCGTCGAAGCGATGCCCCAAAGCGGTTGAGTGCCTTTTTGGCGTCGAAGGACGGACGTCCAAAGTCTTCATGTCCGGCAAGTTGGTTTGCGATGGACACCCACGCTTTCATTACTGCGCCTTTCTTCGCTTGGAATGGGCGGTCAGCACTCACCTGACGAAGAAGCATGATACCTTCTTTGTCGTTGAAGACGCGGCGGAGCTGAGGTGGCTCCATGCCAATCAACATGTGCACCACCCGCCACTCAAACCTAACATGTCAAGTTTGGTTGGAGGGTCGTGCAGTTCTTGATTGGCCAAGATCAGCCAATCATATGTATATGCAGTTATACCGGAATGCCAGTCCGTGAGATCTGTACTTTTCGCAGAATGGCAATCAGATTTAAGAGGACGCGTTCGCGTTCTACATAAGGTTTGACAGGTCGACTTCCGGTTTTGGCAGATAAAGTGGGACGCGAAACCTCTCTATACTGTAATAGAGTTTTCGGAAGCACTCTTGAGGATTTGTCAGTTTGTGGAACTCATCTCAAAAGTCGAAAAAGTAAAACTTTCGGAAGAATTCAAGATGGAAATGAAATATTCACATCTTTTCGAAGTACTTTTCAGAGATTCAGATACGGATATTAACCGAACGAGCGTGTTTTTGCCGCTCCACAAATTTCGACAGACGAGGCATCGAGGGCGAAAGTAGTTGAGCAGCGTTGATAGGCGTCCCCTGGGAGCCGGTATAACCACGAATACTTGACAGACCCACGTATGCATGTAAGATACTTGGAGCAGGCCCACCTAATATAACGCAGTAAAATTTATCTTAACGACAAATTTTATCGAGTACAGTTCAGCCCTATTTGACGACGAGGTGAGAGTGGGTCATCGCTTTTGAGCTACTGTAGTTGTACTTGTACTAGTAACAAGTAAGGTGAATGTAGTATATATCTACTAGTATACATATACTCGAATATACTTATAGTGGACATTCTGCAACGTAGTTTTTACGACGACGACGTCCATGGGCACACTTTTCTTTGTGACCTCACAGTGCTGCGGCTGCAGCGCTGCAGACCTCGACGGCCGTTGGTCGTGCATGAGTGGTCGATGCCTCAACTACTAGTACTAGCATTGGCTATCGTTACTTTAGTTAGTGGCATTATACCTTGGGGTGTAAGCTAGTCAATTCACGTTTGCCTGTTCACTCTGCATTCCGAGCAGAGTCGGTGGATACAAAATGTTGTTCCTGCAATCTTCTAGCTCTTATCTTTTGGGTACATGCATGAAGCTAATTGACTTAAAGTTAGCTACAATTTGCTGTAGCTAAGACCACTTCGCTACACCAAACTTAGCTACAGTACCATCCATGGTCGAAGGTGTTCGTAGCTACATTGGCATCATCTTCGAATTTTCTGAGAATTCTGAGAATTGCGACATGCTCATACTGGCTGAGCGAAAGCAATGTCACATTGTACTGCTTGAACGAATATACTCGAATATACTTATAGTGGACATTCTGCAACGTAGTTTTTACGACGACGACGTCCATGGGCACACTTTTCTTTGTGACCTCACAGTGAACATGAAGGATCATGGCATTCGACGAACGTAAACGTTAGGCGATTGCTGTCTACGTACTACTAGTAGTGCTTAGTTCACTCAAAGCAACAGACCAACTATTATATACTAGTAGTGACGTTTAAGGTTATTATTTACTTATTAACAGTAAATTAGATTTAAAAAAATTAATTATTATTCACTACAATGACAATTAACTGCTTCGAGCACACTTCACCTGTGTGCCTTGACTTGGTTTCGAATCAATAATGGTCTTCGTTGGTCGCCAACAATTGGAGGTACCGTTTGGTCCGTGCGCTTGAGTCTGTGGCGGGCACTGCTCCACAACCGACTTCGCAACTAACGTTACACGAAACATCAGTAAATTAAACAGCAGAGTTGTGATGCAGCTGGCATTAATCGTGCGTAGTTAGTGCGTATTACCGTGCTGTTGAAACCATAGACGATGCAATTTAGCAGTCCCTGGTGACGTCGTACGCATGTCAGCTACGACAGAAAGTACAAGGGGGCATGTACCTGCAACGGACTGAACAAAGCCGTGAGGGTCAAGAACACGGGGCTCAATTCGTGGCCTGGCGATATAACCTGGTACAGTAGTAGTAGATATGGTGAACTTTACCCAACGATCAAATCGGCTCCTACTTGAAACGTCCGACCGAGCGCCCCCCACACCGATGTCAGCAGAAAGACCTGCATGATGTCACAAACCATGGAGCCACGAAGACTAGACGTACCCCAATATAAGCCATCATACGACGACGGACCTTGTCCTCCATGGTTGTGGACATGACTGCGGAGGCCGAGCCCTAAGCACCACTGATATGGCCAAGGAGTGACAGGTAAGAACGACGTACCAGTTTAGATGCCAAAAATACAAACATCGTCAGGTTGAACAGTGCCGCACAGGCCAACGGGGTGTAAAAGAACACCATTTGAAGGATAAACCCATCTGCAGACCATTGGCCTCGGCTCCACGACCGAATCCAACACCTAATTGTATCATTTATATATGTATAACGCACGCGTTTGGACCGTACCAGGGCAACCCACCAAAGCCAACAAGTACAAAACCGCAAGCATGTTGCACTCCAAATGCCATGACAATCTACAAATTGTCGTAAAATTGGAGGTCACCTTCGAATGTACGCAGTACCAACGACGGAAGGCCCCAGGCCAGGAGCAAGTACCGGACTTCGTACATCTAATACCAGGTCGATGAGAGCTTGGACTACAAGGTCGAGGTAGTAGTACCTCTGGGGTTTTGTTTTGCTTCCACATGATTTGGTACAGGTGGAAAGCAAAGCACGACGTCCACACGTACGACGACAACGAGCAGAAGAGCAAGGCATACCCCTACGAAGAGCCAAGAAGGTGGGTTCAGCAAGTGCCAGCGATCAAATATCAACGCATTGACCTGGAGAAAGCAAAGCAGCGGTGTGGCTGAGTGCAAAGAGGGAGCTGCAATACACGGCAGAAGCGTGAGAAGCCAAGCAAGGGAGCCGACGAGGTCTGTGAGATGGAGACAGAAGAGTAGACGGCGACCACACCGCCTCGACTCTTCGAAGAAGAAGAAGCACACGACCATGCCAAGACATGCGCATACAGACAGAGACCCGGACACGGCGATGAGGATTTCTGGTGTCAGCAGCGGCATGGGGCTGCGGTGGTGGAAACACTACGTTGGGCGAGTAAAGTACGCAGCCGTTACAAGTGAAACGCTCCACGGTTTATCGAACAGTGAACCATTTATCAATATATAGATGAATCAAAATAAATTTTCGAACGGCCGTCGTGTCCTTTCACAAGGATCTCAATCCAAATCTCATGGGTTGGCGAGGTCACTTGGCCGTGGTCGTTGCGTGGTGCTGCGGTCTACTACTGGCAGAAGCGTCTCCGATCCTTCTAAGCGTGGACATCAATGTCCAAGGACAGCATATCCCATTGGACTTTCACCAAGGCCAGGAGCCTATCGACGTCATCGAGCGGTTCCGAGCTGACCATGCGTTACCCATGGATTTTCAGCAGCGCGCACTGGAGGCCGTATGCGAATCCATTCCTTGCACGCGTGCGTCTCCAATCATATTCGCCACTTCCATCCATGGAGAGGACAACGAATTCGTCGGCGAGTTTCAGCTTATGCAAGGCGACGAGCCCGCTGACGCTGTGGCTTCGTTTTGCCGCCAGCACAACATCCCTCGCCCGTTCCAGCTCAACATGCTGCAGTCGATATGCAATCAACCGAACATCGTACGTCGTTCCAGCTTATTCTAGTGTATTCCTCACGTTTATTGTAGGTATGCGCCCGATCGGACGCTCTGTTATATCGGCAAGTCATTACGGACGAAACCGGAAGTGTGCTTGGCACCCTCGAGATCTTCGACAGCCAAGAGCCCGTGGATGCGATATTCGCCTTCCTGCAGCCCATGCTAGCCACATCTACATCCGTTGAGCACATGCTCCGGCAATTGCTCCAGGTGGTGTGTCAGCCAACCGTCGCCACCTGCAGTCGTACGATTCCTCTGCTGTTCCGCCACCCGATCGTTGGCCCGGATGGCACTGACTACGGCACGCTGGAGGTCTACTACGGCCAAGAGCCTGCCGACGCCATCTTTTCCTTTGCCTACAAGTACGACCAAGGAATCCACGGCGCAGCTGCCGCTTCCACGTCACCCTCGTCGATGGCTATGGATGCCACCATGCAGCGGTACCAATCGCCAGTTGACTGTATCGTCACCAATGTCGTCACCAATGTCGTCATCGCAGGAACCTCTTGGCCACTGTATGTAACGACCCAATTGTCTCTCGGCAGTGTACGCGAGACAGAGCCATTGTGTTTTCGTCGCCGATTCAACTCGAGACTGGGCCGGCAGACGACGAGCACCCGATACTGACGCTGTACGCCGGCGACGAAGTAGCAGACGTCCTGTTTCACTTTGGTCGTCAACACAACTTGACGTTTCCCATGCGCAGCCAGCTATTTGGCATGCTCTGCAACCGCCCTCCCATCACGTGCACACGAGGCCACGCGGTCGTGTATGCACGGACCTTTGCCATCGAAACCAGTACGTTATTTATTGAATATATATGGTGCACGTCATCTATAAACTACCAACTTTTCACAAAATTTTCTGACTTCTATTTCATATTCATTGCTCAAAATTTCAGCAAATTGAGACGTAGAATCGACAGATCTCAATGTGGTGAAGAGAAATTCTATGTCTCAGATTCAAATTTGGTGATGAATTGGTCCAGAAATAGATATTTAACCTAGCGGTATTTTACATGGGCGATTGGATCTTTGGCCATAGGGGTGGCCACTGAGATGTATCTTGATTTTTGTATGTGACTCTTATCCGTATATAATATCCGGAGGCAGGTGGGACCTTTAACCTCCCACTGCCGTGATAAAACGAAAGAAATCGGTATTTACATTTATTAACGTATTTAGTTTTTTTGTTTATATTGTTAACTACATTAATTGTACGTTAAATAATAAAACCTCCACTCTTCGATTTGGCCAGTTGGAAGTTTTTAGATGACGTTCACCATATATATCTTTTTATTTTTTTATGTATACGCTACTCCGTCATTTTATACATATATCTATGCGTATTTTATATAAATTTTGATGTGTATATAAAGTTTGCCAACATATCGCTACTTCATTGGTACAACGGTGACCTTCACTGGTATATACTTCGAAGTACACGTACATAACCATCGAAAACAGTAGGATATACTCATAGATATATTTCCATGTCATCCTTATATATAAATATATCTACAAGTCATCATGAACCCTCTGAACCCTCTCGGACGTAGTATTAAGATATAGAAATAAATATATATATTTATCATCCGTCCATATAATAGGCCTACACAATTGCCTTGAGCGAGTCTATCATTTGATTATGTTGCTTGTATCCATTTCGACTGTGCGCATTGAATTTGTATATTTATTTCGAGTGTAGGAGCAGAGCCACTGGGACCTCTGGAACTGCACGAAGGCGACGAAGCTGCCGACCGCGTATTTGAGTTTGCCGAGCGGTTCAACTTGTCTAGTGCGGTTCGAGACCAGATCCTAAACACAGTGTGCGTCGACATCAAAGCGGCCATTAACGTCACATGCAGTCGGTTTGCACCAGTGGTGTTTCAAGTGCCCATCACGAAGAACGCGTCCGAGCCGCCCGTGGGAATGCTGCAAATCTTGCAAGGTACTTTACGGTACAGTACAGTAGTGTGGAAAGCCCTACACTAGACACAACACGATGGACTGTACTGGAAAACGATGATGGGGTATTTTTTACTAGGAGAGGAGCCCGTGGACGCGATCTTTCGATTTGGACACGCACATGACCTCGGTCCTGACGCACAGGCGTACATGTTACCTGGCGTTTGCGAAGCCAGCCAACTGCCGTGTACGCGCACACGAAGTCTGCGACACGTTGCAGTGAGAAACCACGATGGAATTCCGTTTTATGCGGACGAAGAGCCAGCCGACGTGGTGTACTGGTAAGCTTGTTTTGTGATTCGCAGCTCTAATTACGGAGCACAACGTCGCATCTTGTATGTGTATTGCTGGACACATACATTCTCAAGTCTTATATATATATATACAGACTTCGCTTTGTTTGATATATATATGTATATGAATACAATTGTATGACATTGTATATCTATGTATATTTGGCCCAGAATATATATATATATATATATATATATGCATCTATAGTATTTGGCCCTACACTGTAGTGTATATATTTATACAAACGTAAATATCGATGTTACCGTCGAGTTCAAAGCGGAGCCGGCCTTCTAAATTAGTTCATCATTTCAAGTACACAAGGACACGACAGGCCCTTGTCTCATTGGGCCATGTATTAGGTACGGTTCATCTCGGAATTGGACGTTTTTGCAGCGCCAGGAATGGCTCGCGGAACTGTGTCGCATACAACGGGCAGGGGCACCGCTGCTCAACTGCTCACGAGCCGAGGCGAGGCTGTTCTACCTGCCTGTGATGGAGACTGCCGACAAGGAAATTGGGACGTTGGAAGTGCTCGAAGGCCAGGAGCCGATCGATCAAGTGTATGCGTTTCTTGAGAAGCACGATTTGTTCCAGACAGCGCCCGTCAACGAAAGTCTAGCCAACATTACGTGCCGCCACGTACCCTGCAGTCGGCTTCGTCCACGGCGCATTCTCTTCTCCATGCAGGCCACATACATGGGTTTGAAGCATACAATTCAACTGGTACAGCCTGAAGAAGACTGGGTGTGCATGGAAAGCTACGGCAGCAAGCAGTGCCAGCATTACGTGCAAGTGAGAAGCATCGAGTATTGCGCCAAGTACATGCGGGGGTGGACCGAGTGCGGAGGTTCGTGAGCCGCCCAGTTCGAACCAATTACAATTGTATTTAACCTGTCGACTTAGATGTGATGGGGAACGCATTGCGGCAAAGCTTGACCTACTATGAAGAAGAGTTGTGGAAAAAGTCCAATGGCAAGGACCTGTACGCCAAGCTCGGGCTGGTCAAAGGCGCCACGTCGGACGAGATTGAAGCTGCGTACCACACCCTCGTGCTCCGATTTAACAATGAAACTGAGCCGCAAAAGTACGAAAAACTCAGGGCAGCGTACGACACGCTCCACGACCCAGAGAAAAAATACTATTACGACCTGCCCTGCATGAAGTTCTTTGGGTTGTGTGGCAAGCGCCAACCGGACGGCGGCATGACCATCTCCACGGACAATTGAGTCGCGTGAGATTCGATTGTACGAACTATTCGATAGTCGCGTATCTCTGGTCACTTGGTACTCTTATAGTACACGGATGACTGTGTAATCAAAAGCTACTGTCGTACAGTTCTTTCTCCAAGCGATCACTGGCAATCGTACAGTATTTAATACTACTAGTAGTAGTAGTATCCTAATGGTAACGTTTAGGCGCTGAGAGAAATAAATCCAATTCGGTGCCACACTAACAGTGATACTCTTGACCAAACGCGTAGGTGCAGGAATAGCATAAATACGGAAGGTGTACTTTAACCGGACCGTCGCAACCTTTCAAGATCCAATTCCGGACGACGACCCGTGAGCAGGTTGTCTCGCCGTGGTCGAGATGGTGTTGAAGCCCACGCGTCTACCCCCCAACAAGAAGACGATCGAGGAAGTGGTCCTCACTCGCAAGATTACAACTGCCAACTCTGGTACATCCACACCATCATCTCGTCTTCCCCTCATCCTTTCACAGGTACAACAAGGCAAATCCAATCCCAGCAGCAGCCCCACCACCACCACCCCGACACAACTAGTACGCGACAGCCGCGCTTGGTCCAATCTGCGGCAACCGCGACGACCTCTTCTCCATCCCTCGTCCACGTCGATGCGTTTCCACTGGACCGGCCACCACCACTGCTCACAACGCATGACGTCCAGCACCTCCAAACGCACCTAAATCGCCTCAACGAACGACTGCAGCACCTCGAAGCCACGAATGCGCTGCACGAACCACTCCAGCACGACCTGGCTCAGGTACAACCTACAACCCATAGTCATGTATCTCCTTCTCCTCTTCGTCCTCTCAATCGATTATTCTACCCCCCATCAGGTGACCCTCATCCAGCCACCAGTTCGACGCGATGCCGACCCCAAACTCACTGCCAAGGTCACACACGCCGTGAAGGAAGTGCATGCTGTAGTACATCGACTGGACCGCGTCTTCTTTGACATCACGTCGGCCGAGAACAAGCGCAGCCACGCCGCCACCGTCCTCGTCGCCGCTGTCCGCGGCCATCTCGTCCGGAAGCGGTATGCGGCTGCCATGCAATTCCTCGGCACGTGGCGGCTCCGACACGCCAAGACGTTCCTGGACTGCATCGTGCGCTTCAGCATGCGGACGTTCCGCGTCGACGTCGGCGTCGACGACATGCTCGAGCGCGGACGCATGCGGAAACTGCGCTTGTGTGTGGACGAGATGCGAGACATGACCATGTTGAAGCGACCGGGGCGGCGCGCCCAGACTTTACAAGTACGTGCGTGCGGATGTTTGGTGTTGGCTGCTTGAATCACATCTAGACGTTTTGAGAGTTTGGGTAGTAAACGGATTGTATAATTGACGATAGGTGGACACCCGGTACAATGCCAAGCGACGGGTGCTGCTGGATGAAATGTTTGGCAGCTGGAAATCGGTGGCCATCGGGCCTCGCTCTCGCAAACGGATGGTCGAGGCGTACCGGTCGCGGCTGTTCAAATGTCGCGCCTACTTAGAGTCGTTGCTCCGGTATTCTTTTACTTTTTATGCATCGTTGTTGTAAACTAGTATTATTTTGTGGTATCATTGAGTAACGAGAAGGTGGTCCCAGCTCTACCTACCCACGACGTACTGTTATGGCATCTCAAAATTCGTTTGAAAGCTAATGATATATATATATATATATATTCGTGTGATAAATTAATGTTTCTTTTAGCTATGACGTGATTACGCCAGACATGGTCAAAGCCGAGCTGCAAAAAGACTCGATTCGAAGTATCCGCAGCCAGTCAGTGTACCATCGATACCGCATGTACTTTCGGCTATGGGTGACATACATTTGGAAGCCCATGAAGGTGAACGCTGCCAAAGCGCATGCATTTTGTCGGGAAAAGACCGTGCTCAAGGTCGGTGCGGCGTGGGTGGCCCACTTCCGGACGTTCCAACTCGAGCGGGAGTTGCAGAAAGTGAGCGACCGCCGGACGTTCGACAGGTTTCCGCAGTACTACAACATCCGCCGCATCGATTTTCATTACCACCGTACGATGCAGCGCAAGCATTTTATCGCGTGGACCAGTCTCCATCGACGGTGCAAACTCGTACAAAAACGGTTTGAAAAGGCCTCGCTGCGCATGTTGTTGCAGCTGGTGCGGGCGTGGCGGCTTCGAGCTACCTACCAACATCGGCTGCGCGACGCCACCGTCCGCGAGTGGAATGCATATTGTGTTCGGGTGTTCAAGGTACAAAGCAAAGTAGTCCCGATCGCCCATCGTGTAGATATTGCTGTAGTATATTATATATATACCGAGCTCCCGTTCAAGTTGTTCATATCAATCCGTGGGCAACTAACTATACGGATATGATGTATACCTTGCGATTACAGTATTCAAGATTTGCATGTTGTGTGAATACAAAAAACCCCAACCCCCCTCCCCCGCCACAAATCAAATGCGATTGTAGGTGCCATTCCAAGCGTGGGTGCTGTACATTCTCCAGCGGAAACAGCGCCATGTTACCCAGGACAACCTCATCCGTGCCTTCCACCGCCGTCAGCATCGCCATACGACGTATTCATTTTTCCGCATTTGGAAGCACCAGACATTGTTTGGGCACGTCGAGGGCATCCACAGCCGCGTAACGCTGATCCAAACCCTGGAGCAGCAAAAGGCGTACTGTTTGTCCTTGGAGGACAACGCCGTGGGGTACCAACGTGTGATTGCTACGTTGGAAGCGTCGTTGGCCGACGAAAAGGGACGGCTGCAAGCTAAAGAGGCTGAACTCGAGGCACTGCACGCCCACACCCAAGCCACCCGGTACTCCATATTTTTATATTTGTGGTAGTTCTGTATTCAGTGTACGCTCGTCCAATGGAGGATCCTCTGCGTTTGGTTGGTCAAAGTGTTGCCAATGAACATTAATTGTGGTGGTTCTGTATCCAATTATTCGTGATGGCGGTGGTACTGATCCCTAAATGAAAACCGTCGTTTTTCGTTTAGTTATGTATCCTGTAGCCTCCACTTTTATGACGGGGCAGTGGTCATACGTATTACTTAAGACTATATGTGGTGGTTCTGTACTCCTCGAAGAACTGAGGATATTGTGGGGTAACAGTATTGTTGCAACTTTGCCGTATTTCTTTATTCAGGATGCTTCTGCATTCAGTACACAACTTTAAAATTGGGATTTTTTCCAGGTTTGCCATGCACAATGCCGAGCAACAAGTCGCGCGCACTCAGAGTCTACTGAATGCCGTGAGGGACATCCACCCCGGAACCATCCGCCGTATCGAGCGCATGTACTCGGACGAGTCGATCCTGGCCGGCGATTTAAAAGATGTGATCCACCTGCACATTCTGCGGACGTCGGAAGCGCAACAGGCGGCGCTGGCCGCGTACGAGCAAAACGTACTACAAACACATATGCACGCAGACAACGCCGACGACCAACTGCTTCTACGACGTGTCAAGTGGGTGCTCAATCGCCTAAGACTCAACTACGACACGGTACACCACCGCCGTAGTTGTTGGTCTATTTGTGGTTGTTGTACATTCAATTGCCAAGTGACAAGCGTATACCATATGGATCTGTACCCACGATTTTCCCCAAATTGCTATATGGTGTCAATATGAAGTGCGTAGCACCAAGTCGCAATTATATCGTTCTAGCCAATCAAACAAGTTGAAGAAAGTAGAAATGGCCAATCCGAACCCGTTATAATGAAATTAGACCACTTTATTGGTTTTACTGTTTTTTTCGGGGATACAGATCCATAAGGTATACGTAGTGCGTTGGTTGTGTTTGTGTTGGATTCAATTTCAAGATGGCAAAGGTTAAACGGACTTGTTATTGAGGGGTTCTATGGCTTTATCGGGGGCATGTTTTCGTTTTCGAGCTGAACATTACTACTAGTAGTAACAAACAAGATGACTAAAGTTCTAAACATGGACGTGTTGTAGGTTGCTGACATGCTGCTGGCGACCCCCCAAGACGTCCAGGCACTGAGCTCGCAAATGCACCAGCTGCACGCGCTGTACGAATTCTTGCGCAGCGGGGACACGACGTCGCTAGTGGAGGAGAACATTCCGCTCACCAAGGAATTGCACGTGCTGGAGGCGTCGCTGGCAGTGCCAGGGGAAGACAGAGGGGGAATGGTCTTGGAGAGTCCGGCGTTGTTGGCCACGGACGACCAGTGGAGCAAGTTCGTGCAGGACGTGGCCCAGAAGTTCCCCCCCAAGCGATTTGTGCCCATTCAAGACCGCCTCGTCAGCTACGCGTTGAACCGGGTCGAAGAAAAGCGACTGGCGCAATGGGAAACCCAGAAACCCACGATTTACAGGCATGTTATTGCTTGGGGGCTCTCACGATTTGATGTTGTATTGTTTTGGGGCGTTTGTAGCCGTGTGCAAGGGCAAGCCAAGGCAGCTGGGGGCGATGGCAGTTGACAATGTGCCTTGTACAGAGCGTGGGGTTCATTGGGGGGGTCTCTGTATGAGGGGATTCCTTGTTCGCGACTTGTCAATGTACTTGTATAAAGGGTTCCAATCAACTATCGACAGTAGTTGTTGACATCATTAGTGTCGATATACAGCTGAAAGTGTCGACAATAATGGTGTAGTCGATAATTAGTTGGCTATGAACTATCGTGCATTATGACGTGAGTGCCAACCGCATATGGACAAGCCAAAGTGAACATAGCAGCGAGCCCTATCATTTACTAAGAAGTACTCCCAATAGATCACGACTGCAACCTACCTTGTCTTTGTCTTCGTTTTCACCCAAAAGGAACGCTGAAATAAAACAAACGATGTCCCGCCTAACGCTGACCGGGCCGTATATAACAGAAAGAATACAGTAGCTCTTTGGTAGGCTCCTTGAAGTCATCACGATAATGTAGTACTAAGCTTACTACTAGTAGTGCAAGTGTCGTTGCACGAGGTAGGTATGCGGCACGATATGCGTACACACAGTGGGCGAACCTTTTTTGGCCGGGCTTGTGCTCAAACATGTGGCACTTCCTTTCCCAGCTTTGTACCCAGGACAGCGAATTGGGGGCTGTATGTCAGCTAACCCTTCTAGTGTTTTGCTCCAGCTTAGCCGAGGAAGCGACTGCACGGATACACCTTCTTATATACCGGTAATGTACGATATGCCATGCAATTTATAACCAATTTGGTGGTGGCCAAGATGCAGTTTATGAGCCAGTCTATTCTCAGATTGCGGGATGGGAAATACTGGGCTAAACAACCCATTTCCGAATATGCAGCTTGACATGCTACTGGTGTCACGTTGACAATCGTTCAGTGCCAGGGCATATTTACCACCACCACCGACGTATGAAACTAGAGTAATGACATGTGAGCGCTTTACTACATCGTATATATTGTCCTTACGCTCAGTCTAGTTTCTTCAATCTACGACGCCCTTATCCCGAAACCCCGAAATGCCGGTCATCGAAAATGGGACATACTGGGGAAAACATACACGCAAGGCCAAAATAGTACTACTGTGGTACTGACGTTGTACAGTACCCTACTGTGAAGTCTCACTTTTGAATTTGACTTGGATCGATCGAGCATGGTTGTCCTTACTGCGTCCGACACGGCCTACGCCATCGCCAAAGCGACGAAGGGATTTGATGATCTGGTATCATTTTCACAAGTGTATGTCGACCAGGATAAGAAAAAGTACTCGTCATCCGCCCAGCCCACGCCCACATCGAGCTTTGCAATCCACCACGCCCCCATGATCGGTACATTGGACTCCCTGACTGCCAACTACAACGATGCCGTCCATGTTTGTACTGAACACACAACGCTCCTCTGCACGCTGTCCCCCTCGATCTCTGTGCAGCACAGTGTTCTCAAGTCGCCTATTCCATTCGTTCGAGATCGGGACGCAGTGTTTAGTCAAGTGCAGCGCTCGTATGTTGACTCCAAGGGTCGGCAATGCTATGCATGGTACCGCACGTCCCTGGCGGCCGTGGCGGCCCCTGTCACCGCATGTATTCGAGCCACTGTCAACAGCTGGGGCTCCGTGCTCGTGCAAGTCACGCCTCACACCCTCACGCAGTTCACGGTGATGGACGTCGACTGGAGCGGTAACGTGTCATCCTGGGTAGCGGCTCGGCTAGCGTCCAAGCTCGTCGCGCCTTTGACCTTGGTAGGCCATCGCGCTTCGTCAGCACCGTCGTCCGCAACGATATCCAGAGAGCCCCCCAAGGTCATTAACAACGCACGTCGGTGTGCAATGTGTCGGGTGAGGCCATCCATGGGCAAACGCGACTTAGTCGTGTGTGTTGCGTGCTCCCATGTCGTGTGCCAGGCCTGCAGCGACCTGTCGGTCACGTCCCCCCGATGCCTCGCGTGTTTGCTTGGCATGCGAAAGCGCAATGTGTCGGTGATATCGTCTACCGAACCTTTAACTGCATCGTCGTCATCGTCGTCGTCGATGGTGTCCACTGACGTCGATTGTGTGACCCCGAGGACCCTCCCCGCTTGCAAAAGCACCATGAGCCATCGCAACCGTCGCAAACTGTGGAGCTCCAAGCAGCCGTCGGCTGTCACGGACTTGGGGTATGTCGCAGAATTGTATCCGGGTATATAGTTAACAGCTACTACTACAGTAGTAGTACTCCGGGGTAATACGTTTCTACTATTAATAGTAACGTTACTGTACCAGTATTAATAACGTTACAGAGTGCAAACACACACAAAGGTCCCTGCTCACTGGGCCTACCACTGAATGTTGATTTCGGCTCAGTGAAGTTTAACGCTTGCAAAAACGGCACCAATAATTATCAGCTCTTCAACAGGCGTATGCGTTCATAACAATAATACTCATGCTCTTGTTCAATCCACTTGTGAAAGGGGGGGTTCACTCGAAGGTCGTCGTCATGGCGGTGCCTTGTCCACCTGGTGAAGCGTCTGCTAGAGCTGAATACATAGGTTGACCAGGGGCATTTGAAGCCGACCTCCATTGCCCCATCTGGTGGCAGGTGTGTTGACATGGGCGGGGTTTCCGAAGGATACTGTATTTGACGATGCACCATGTCAACTCGACTTTCAACTCAATCATTGGATTCATGCGAGATGAGACTGCATCCTTCCTGGTAAGGTTGTCTTGATGAAGAAGGGAAGTCGCTGCTCTTACTCCATCTCAACACGACCACTGAGGCTGTTAGGTTGTCTTGATGAAGAAGGGAAGTCGCTGCTCTTACTCCATCCCAACACGACCACTGAGGCTGTTGTTTTGCATCGTTCATACGAAACGAGGGGGCACCATTGCCAGTTCGAGCAATAGACGGTTCGTACATCGCAGGGATGTGTTCCCGCCCGGTCCGCGATGGCATGGGGGTCACAAATATGAGACCTGACTTGCCTAGCTCTCGTAAATCTCAAGTTTATAGATGCCGAACTCATCCGTCCAATATATAGACGGAAGTCGACCTTTGTCGGGCGATCCACGGAGGCCATTCAGCACTATCGAGCGAACGATGTTCTGGACGCAAACTCATGCACGTAGTTGTTCTTCTTGGCCAGTTTTTTTCTTGCGTTATGCAACCATCAAGGACGTACATGTAAGTCGGCAGAGTTGAGGCGGGATGAACCCCCTTCCAACAAACGAACCTAGACGCGGCGATTTAAGGCGACGCTAGGCACGTAGTTGACACTAGATATCCATGTCGGCCGAAGCGTCACTGAACTATTCTAGCAGCAATCTTGGCGCCATGTCCATGCGTTTTGATCAGCGGACTGCACCCAGCTTGCAAACGGCGGGAGTTAAGTCGTGGATCAAATAAAGATTGCAAAACGATTTGTGGTCTGACGCGCACTTCGTCGTGCGGAAAAGCGAGCGACTGAGCGGCATTTGATGCAACAGCGACTCACTCGGCGTGGCCAATCTCAGAGCGATATCACGACCTAGGACGGACCGCGTGTCAGTGCTGGTTGGAACTTGCGCTCGATGCCTGGACGGTGGTGGAGTCGTAGCGCTGCCACGCGTCGCTCGACGTGGGCTAGAGCTGTGGGGGCTACTCTTTCGAGGTGATGTGTGTGGATCTGTTCCAGGTTGCTTGAAATTTGACATGAAGCTGTCGGAAATTCAGAAAACGTGTGTGGCGTTTTTGCAGTGTCACATACAGACAACCATGGATTTTATGCGACACCGAAGTTGATGTGTATATCCATGACGCAAGTCTAGAAGCCTGTTGGACACGAACGTGGCTTCTCACGACAAAGTCGACGCCACTATGTAGCTCCGTGTTTCGACGTTATTCAACGACGCGACCTTGGCTTGGCGTATGCCTCCAGTCAGAATCACAAGCAGGTGCCTCTGCCTGCAAAGCGGCCCAAACCACCAGTCTCAAGTCCGACGGATTTTCCCCCCACTTCGGCATGTGATGTCAATCCACGAAGTATCCAAACGTAGCCCATTTGGCCACACGGTGCGACGTGGCTCCCGACCCGCGATCTGTCTCCAGATTCCTACCCTCTCATGTAGCTTATCCACCAACATCACTGGCTTCCACGGCACACGCGATGTAAGCTCACTTATCACTAGAGCACACTGGTCCTCTAGTGATAAGTGAGCTTACATCGCGTCATCATTCATCATCGTATGGTCGACTTCGTCGCCAGACAGTCAGCTGCATCAACCGTGACTTCGCTATAAATAAATTGATACCAATCCTGTATGTAGGTTGGTCCACCTCGTCTATAGGTTGCAGGGGTAGACTCTCCACACATAATGTGTTGACAAGGCTATTTATATAACCCAACCAACCATTCTCGTATTCCCAACTGTCCCCAACCTCATGCAAATGGGCGTGGCGCCGCTGGACGCTGCGCATGCCGAGCCCTCCTCCGTGAGCATCACCAGTCGGCCGTGGCTGCGGCGCTGCATCTTTTCCTTCGTCGTGATCAAACACATCGTGTCAGCCCTGTATTTGATCGCCCAGATAGCCATCATTTGTAATATGGACGCGGCCGAGAAACTCGCGACCCGCGTGATCGCCATACCGAGCACCACAGTCGCGTACTCGGTGCTGGCCGGGCTGCACATGACGCTACTTGTGCAGCACTGTCGTCATCCTCGGCAAACATCTCGCAGCAGCCCCGACGTGATAACTTCGTCTCGACTAACTAGGGCCACACTCTTTCGTTGGCTTGGTAGCGACGGGTTTATGATCTTGTACAACGTGATCGAACTGACCTGCCAGAGCTACGAAGCGTTTGCGATTTCGAAGCAGCTGGTAAACCACGCCATCGTGGCCACGTACGTGGGGTTTGTAGCCCTTCATGCGATGGTCACGCCGATGTTCTTTGCCACGCGGCACACGGCCACCAAGATCGTCATGGTTAACTGGACGTCCAGCATGTGCAGCTTTGTCACGTCCAGCGTCGTGCATATCTTTGGGATGATCATTCCCCTCGCGAGGTACGTGTGGCTGGACCCAAACCTTGGTAGAAACCCAATCTTTCTCGTGCGGGGGGTCAAGTACGCCCGGTACAACCTGGTCACGTCCGTGGGTGATTGGGTTGCGAAATGCGGGATTCAATTGGGCTCGATTCTATCGCTGTGGAGGCTCGTGCATTCGCTGCGCATTGCCTCCAAAGCCCAAAGACGCGGTAGCCCGCTTACGAAGCAGCCCTCGATGCAACCCCCCCGACCCCTCCTGGCCTTTTTCCGATTGAACCTATACGTTAGACTGTACATTGTGGGCAGTTCACTCTGGGGCGCCGTGTTGTTGGTGTCGCTTGCTCACACGACATGGTACCGCCAGCCGTGCCCGACCACTTGCCAATCGTTCACTACTCCTCTATGGGACACGACATGCCAGTGCCTCTACGCGCATGTGAACTGCGCGACACTACACGTCGACGACGTGGACAAGGCGCTGGACGCCAGCCTCCTCGGACAGATCTTGTTTGCAATCCTTATCAGCCGCTGCGACCTTCCACGTGGCGTCCGCAATGCGACGCTGCATCAATTCCCGGCTTTGTATTATTTTGGCGTCAAGTTCACCAACACGACGTCGTGGACAGACCAAGCGTCTCTGCCCCCAGTAGTAAACGTTGTGGCATTTCGATACATGCCGCTACGGACGCTCCCGTCGATTTTGCTCGAAAACCTCCCATCTACGTTGACCTCTATGACTGTGTCCAACCTCCCACTACGCGACGCGTTCGAGCTTCCAGCGTCATGGATATCGGTCACACGGCTATGCTTGACCAATGTCAGCCTCTCGAAGCTGTCATCGGACGTCCTACAAAGCATGGACGTGAACAAGCTGTTTCTGTATCACAATGCGTTGACGACGTTGCCAACTCGGTTGCAACACATGCCAAAGCTCAGTATCGTCGACGTGTCGGGGAACGAGTTCACGAAAGCGCCGTGGGATTTGCTCAACGACCAGCGTCGCACACTGCTCTTGTGTGATAACCCCCTTGACGACCCCCGTGTCCCCGACACCATCGACGAGACCACTCGTCAAGCCTACATCAAGACGTTCCAAGCTTCGTGTGCGAGTCCGTGCGCCCCTCAATGTTACCCCCATTTAGTTGGCGACCACGAGTGTCAACTATCGTGCTTCAACGCCGCCTGCAACTACGACGATGGCGACTGCGATGAATTTGGGTTTGATCGACTGGAGTAAATAAATAATATATCTCCGAACCCCGAAACCCCGGAGGGTTTGAATCAAACGATTGGATATTAAACACAGAATATTATTTCTACCAATGAAAACGAACTTGATTTCGATTATGGTCCAATCCGATGCAACCGAGTTGACCGTTTGGCGAGACACAACATTCGATGGCGTTTGACCAAGTGGACGCGCTCAAGCATGCGGTGGCCGTGCATGTGGAGACGCAGAAGTCCAAGCACTCCATCTCCATCGCGCCGTTGACGTCGAAGAGGTCCCAACAGGTTGTGTACTTGAACGCAGGTGGGCCAGTGTGGGCAGTCGATTGGTACCAGCCTCCTTCGACGCCTTCCACGTCGTACATCGCGTTGAGCGCCCATCCTACGGTGTCCTCAGCCAACGGCGACGTAGTCGTGCCGAATCATTCGTACAACGAACGATACGACGGTGGGAACGTGGTGCAGATCTGGGCCGTGTCAGCCAAGTCGAAGCAACACAGCAGTTCGCTGGTGCTGTCGATCCCGCACAACGGCGCGTTCGCGTGGAGCCTCAAGTGGGCTCCCCATGTCTCTGCCTGTCTCCCCACCATCGGTTCGAGTCCATCCTGATGTTGAACATCCACTGCGTACTCACACGTTCCGTAGGCCTGGGCGTGCTGGCGGCGGCGTTGGGAGATGGTACGTTGCACCTGTATCGCATGCTCCACGACCAGTCGTACTCGATGGTGGGCACATATCAAGACCCACACAGCTCGCTTTTGTCCATCTCTTGGTCCCGCACACATCCGTACATGTTTCTCACTGGTCGAGTTGACGGTAAGACTGTATTGATTACCCTCCCTAGTTGCTGCATGCATTTCAAAACCAGTTTTCGTCACAGTGTCGCTACAATGCTCGAGTCGTAGTAGTACTAGTAGTAGACGGTGTCGTGCCGCCGCTCGTACACTATTTTAGTATTTTGTCGTACACTATTATCGTGTGGCGAACCCAGCTAACATTGGATATTGGAGTGGCTAACATTGCCCATGGCTTGCTTATATGTATCCAGGTGCGATACACATGTGGAATGTGCAGGAAGCCCTGGAAGCAAGCATCAATGATCTGGTCACAACCCCGTCCTCGCTAGCTCCGCACCGTCGGTACGAAGACGGTACGTTTCTCCCTATCGGCTATGAGATATCCGTTGTGTGTACTCCATATCGGCTATGAGATATCTGTTGTGTGTACTCCATATCGGCTATGATATATGCCTGTAAAACTGTAGCTGATTCAACATCCAAGCAACCGCGGCATCACTGGGGCTGTGGATGGGTCGCCGTGCGGGAGATTGCATGGAGTGCGCACGATCCGCACCTGTTTTGCACCATGGGAAATGTATGTACTACATACAGCGTCCACGGATAGTATGCCGTACTTGTTTTCTTAACAGTCATATGGACATGTCCTATATATACCGTATATGTCGACTTGATTGTGATATGCAGGACACGACGCTTCGTATCTGGGATATCCGGGAGCCCCGCGCCTGCCTCCGGGCCCACCGCCTCGTGAACTTCACATTTGGCTTGGCCTTATTGTGGCTCAACCCGACTACGATCTTTGTATCGACAGATCAAGGCTCGATCTTTGGAGTGGACCCCCTGGTTAGTACTATGTGGATAGTATTACTAGCAACCGTTGGCTAGTAGTACTTCGAATGCTCACGTGTTTGTAGACTGGTATGCAGCGGCTATTGCTCGCACATCCCCATTTGGACAGTCCTGTGTGGTCTTGTGCGTACTTGCAAGTACGTTTTATCTATAATATATATATATATACCGTGCCTTTGATTGATTTGAAGAGTTGATCAGGAAGCCCCATATATATATATATATATATATATATATATATAATATTTCCAGTGGTTGGTATCTTTGATGTCAACGTAGCAGTAGTCTATCTGTTTCACACGTTTGTTTCTCTTTTGATTCCATTTGTTGTGTTGGTCGTCCAATACGCATATGATCCAATCGTTCTTCCTCGTCCCTTGTATATATATATATATATGTTCATTTTCGTATATATATATATATTCGTAGACTAAAGTCGGCAACATTCCCGTCATGTTGTCTGCGTGTGCAAGTGGGTCCATTCTTCAAACCCGCCTCGATCGCCTTAGCACCAAGCGAAGCTGCCCGACTTTGTTTGCCCAGCTGAAAACCATATCCCCCCAACACCTGAGCGTGTCATTTGAGAAAATCGCGCGGAAAGCCAACGCCGGTAGCGGCAAGCGGACGTTCCCTGACCGCAACTTGGCCATCCATCGCGTGCTGTTTTCACCTGATGGGTCGCAAATGATGTGGGCTGGGGTCACGGGGTTGGTGGGCATCGCGCCGTACGAGTATGAAGTACCCCGTGTTGCCAGCGGCAAAACCATTGGCCGACCACGCAAGTACGACATCAACTCGAAAGAAGGCCGACGGAAGAAACCACTCAAGTATGCCAAGGACATCAAAGAAGAAGTGGACGACGAGGATAGCAGCACCAGCAGCCAAAGCGACGACGGCGACTTGGGTAGGACGTCCTACTACTAGTACTACTAGTAGTAGTGAGGGGGTGGAGATTCAAGCGTCGATTGGAATGTATGTAGACTTGTCCGATGGTAACAGCAGCGGTGGCGAAGATCGCGTCCAAGTGCAAGGAAAGAAGCGAGCGGCCAGGGTCGTTGTGAGCACCCGAAAGAAACCCAGGGTGTCATATGTGGAACCAGAAGATATCGACACATTCGCGCAAAGTATTAGCGAAGATGGCGACGGAGAAGAGGCCCCCCTACTGACAAGCAAAATACAAGCTATAACCCCATCAGCAACCGCGCCACCCAAGCGCGGCCGCCCCAAGAAGCTAGTACCCATGAAGAAACGAGGTGGGGTGATGACAGGTCCTCTGGACGCGCATATCGTCAAGCAAGGGGTTCCAGAGGTAGTTGCCGCAGCGGAGGTCACAGACGCGACCCCATTGAAAACACGGCGCCGCGTAGCTATGAAGGCACTGCCGCCGTCACCGTCGATCGATTTAACTGGCAAGGAACCAGCTGATGGAAAGTCAGCCAAACGAGCCCAAACAACGAAGGCGTTGGCTGCTGGTGCTGCTACCCCTTCTAGAGGTAAAAGCACGGGAAAGGGAGCTGCCGTGGCTCCTAGGGGCAAAAGCACGGGAAAGAGAGCTGCCGTGGCTAAACAACTGGCCATCCCCGCAGCCAAAGTGGTTGCACAGCCACTTGCTCCAGAAGTAGATGCGATCGGCGAGGACGCTAAACAAGTGCCAGCTAAATCGACGACCAAGGCTGTGAAAGCCACAAAGAAGGCTCCCGTTGCTCCGAAACTCTCTGGGAAACACAAGGCGAAACCAGCCGTAGCCACGAAACTAACAAAGCCACGAGGAAGAGCAAATCCACCGACCCCCACCACCGCGAGCCCTAGCAGCAAGAAAATGGTGCAAACCACACTCCAACTCGTGAAAAAGGAGCCAAAACCAACGGCTGCCGTGGCGACGACTACTGAACTAGACTCTGCAACTTCTGCAGCAACAAAGCTGCCTTGTTTTACCTTTGCGGTGGGCCAAGTCGTGCAAGTAGCGGCTCGCACGAATCCAGGCATAAACAAGTTGGGCGGCGCCGGGTTCGTCAAAGCCATCTATCCAAGTACGTCGATATGTATGTATGGAATGATCGACGTGGCTAAGCTAGTTGCTGTGTAGATGATGGGACTGTGGATGTCAAGTATGTATTGGGCGGGCAAGAGCGAGGCGTGCCCGTTGCGTACGTAACGGCCGAGGTCACCCCAACGAACGACATGCCGGTGAAGCGGCAACGGCGATGTTAACAAGATAAATGACAATGGAACTCCAATGTGTTTGGGGAACAGTGGGGTGTGATTTGTATGTACTAGTCATGGCACACTATACAATAGATAGGAGGAGCAGCAGTCGTAGTGTGGGAGGGATCGAAATGCAGTTCAAGGGCCCGCATGTACATCGAGACGTGGTCTTCTGGTGCTGGTTGGTGTCACACCGTGCGGAGGAGTGGCATTTGATTCGTGTTGGACGTAGGGTTGGCGCGGAAAGGAGCATCGGCGCTTACGACTGCGGATGGGTGGATTGTACATAAGCCTCATAAGCGTCGTCGAACTGGGCCAGGGACCGCAACACGTCGTCGGGGGAGCCGAGTGTGTCGGCGAATGGAAGCGGTTCAACGACTTGGCCTGTAAGTCGAGAGAAGAGGACCCGCGGCTGGTGGGTGGTGACAACTGTGGTGGTGGAGGAAGTGGATGTCTGTTGGGCCATCCATAGATCGTCTGGCGGCGGACAAGAAGACACGACGAACATGGGCGCGTCCACGGCATCGGGAGAGGTCGACATTTCGGACAGTAACGGCGGAATTCAAAAAATGGGATGGTGCAACTGGAACTGAACTTTGGTCCAAGGGGTCGCTCGCGGGGATTCTAGCATACCGATTGGTGGAATTTCGACCAATCAAATGAACGACCGTTCCCCCCTCAACATATTGTATACAGTATCCATTCTAAAAGGTTATTATATTGTAGAGGTCTTGGAGATGGTTGGCGGAGTTGAAGGCCAAAAGTATCCATTCCATCAACATCGCAACAATCTCCCATGAGCAAGTATGCGCTTCCGACGACGGATGAGATGCGGCAGCTGCATGCCGCAGACCAGAGCAGTGTGTTCCAGTCCAACTTCATCAAGCTGCAGGTGGACCAATTGCTTGAGGAAGTCACGGTCGACTACACCGCGTTCTCGTCGGTGAACGCCACGTTGTTCGCGCTCAAAGAGGCCATGGACGCGATTCCAGCACAGCAGGTGACGTCGGAGGCACTCAACCTGCCAGGCCTGGTCGTGCGACACCACCACAAGCAAGTCGTGCTTCCCTTCCATCCTCCCGCGCGCCTTGACGTTGTTGGAAGCTACTCGTTGCGTCACGGCACCCTCCTCGACCACACGCTAACGATCGACGTAGCAATTCAGCTGCCCGACGCATGCTTTGTACCGAAAGACTTTACCAACTACCGGTACCACGACAAGCGCAGCCTGTACCTAGGCGTCCTTGCGTCGCACCTCCAGACAGCCACGACTACCTCGTCCAAATCCTGCAAGCCAGCGCCGTGGACACGTCTGTCGTTGGTTCCGTTCGCGGGCGACGCGTCCAAGCCCATCTTGCGTCTGCACTTGGCCCCCATCAAGAAGACACAGGTCGTGGTACAGCTGATCCCCGTGCTGTCGTTCCAGTGCAAATTTCCCCCGTCGAAACTGCATCCTGGCAAGAGCAACCTCCGCCATGATCCTCCACTCGATGCGACGCCCGTCTACAACAACGCCGTGCTCGAGGACATGGCGTTGCTCAGCCACTTTCGCGCGCTGCATGCCGTGGCTGCGCAATCCGAGTCGTTTGTCCAGGCTTGTATTCTGGTCAAGGTGTGGCTCCGGCAGCGCCAGCCCTCGTCAAGCGCCGCCGCATCTGACTCGGTCAATGGATTCCAGGCAACCATGTTGATGCTGTACTTGATTCGATCAGGTAAGTTGTCGTACTCGACGCCCGTCGACGCCATGGTCAAGATTTGGCTGCACTTTGTGGCCACCACCGACTTGACGGCTACCCCGCTGAGCTTTCCCCCTCTCAAACCCGGCCAAGACGAAGAGCATGACGAGAATGACCATGGGGTCGTGGTGGTGCCGACGCCGACAGGTCTATCGGCGTTCCAACAGGCATTTGATGTGGTATTCCTGGATCCAAGTGGTCGGGTAAACGTGTGCAGCCGCGTGTCCAAGTCTGGGTGGCTAGAGATTCAATGGCTAGCGCAGCAATCCATCTCAATCTTGCCCAAAGCTACAGCCGACGCGTTCCACCAAGTGTTTCTTCAACGTCATTCATTCTGGGCTCGCTACGACGAGTACATTTGGGTTCCCGTCTCCACTACTAGTACTACTAGTAGTACCTCGTCCAGATTGCAAACGACGACCGACCTGGCGTTGCCCCAAGAAGTGCAACATGTCGTCGCCAAGGCATTGGGCGACCGCGTCCATCGCGTCCGCCCGCTCGGCATCCTCCCAACTCCTTCCTCTTCTTGGCTTGTGACGGAATCCCCCCCAACGATCCACAAAGTAGTGCTAGGCCTCGGATTGAATCCCGAGAATGCCCATCGTATCGTGGACAAGGGACCAGAAGCCGATAACAAGGCGGACGCTGCCACGTTTCGCGCGTTCTGGAAGTCCAAAGCCGAGCTAAGGCGGTTCAAAGACGGTTCAATCGTCGAAGCAGTCGTCTGGGACGACGTGCCAACGTCCCAGATCGTGTCGCAGATTGTGCGTACGATCTTGCCGTTTCACTTTGACCAGTCGAGTGTACATGGCGATGCAATTGTATCCTCCAACGACACATGGAACGACGACGCGTACTCGGTGGCGCCGTTGCTCCGGGCTTGGGCCACGTTGCAGAGCAGCGTTCGATCCCTTGACGAGTCGGTGCTGCCATTAAAGGTCTCGGATCTGCAGTTACTCGCCCCGGGTCTGCGCCGCACATCCGCCGCCCCCCCGACCCCCCATCCCCTCGCCGGTACCCCCTCCCCCTCCTCCACCCCCCAAGGCGCCAAGTTTGTCACCACCACCCTCGACCCGTACATTGTGGTGCTGCAGTTCGAGTCGACTTCGTCGTGGCCATCCACGCCGGATGGTGTCGCAAATGCCAAGCTTGGGTTTTACGTGCAATTGGCTGTCGCGCTGGCCAAAGTAGGCACTTGCCAAGTGCACTCGACGGGACTCGATATCCTCGTGGGGGGGTTTCCATTTCGACTGGTGATTGTAGTCACTGGTCGGGAAAAGATCAACTCGCTGCAGATTGGCGCCCTCCATGCCCCCATGATTCACGCGCTAAGTACACAACATGCTGCGTACGCCCCCACGGTGCGCCTGTGGATGAAATGGCTCGACGCGCACCTGGCTACGACTGTGATGCCCCTCGAAAGCTGTGAATTGCTGGTCGCGGCCGTCTTCTTGACGCCGGCGCCGCCGCAGTCGGTGCTTTCGGGCTTCACTCGGGTCCTGCATCTAGTTGGCCGCTTTGACTGGACTTCGCAGCCCCTGATTGTTGATTTGCACCAGCATATGACCGAAGATGACCGCCGACAAGTGCAAAAACTGTTTGATGCGTCCGCTACGAGCCCCAGTACTCACCCCGCCCTGTACATTGCCGCCTCATACGAGGGTTCAAAGCCATCGTTTTGGACCCGAGACGTGAATGAACCAGTGCTGGCGCAACGCCTTGTGGCACTAGCTAAAGCCACCTCGGTGCAGTGGACCCACTGGCTCGCGCAAGGTACAGTATTGTATTTTGACCCAAAATATGGTTTACTTTGTGCCTGGATTCTATCGATCAATTCTTTGTACGGAGTTTTGTACGTAAAGTTCGTCCAGAGTCACACATATATATATAAATATATACGGCGGAGTTTGGTTTTATTGTATGTACGTTCATTCATGCAAGTGGTGGTTTTGTTTTACTTGTAAATAGGCTATGCGGCTAATTACACGTGTGGGTTGGACTTGTTCAAATGTATAATTAATGTATTCCGTCGTCTTATTATCGTAGGAATTCAAAAATAATATTTGTTTTTTCTTGTTTGTAGGTGCGGCGCCCCACGGGTGGCAGGCGTGCTTTGCGCACGTGATGGACGACTACGACGTGGTATTTCACCTGACTTCATTGGGCAACAAGCTCGTGTTTCCGTCGTCAAAAGGCCGGTTTGCCATCCCATTTTACAAGAACCTCAAGCACGCGAACCCGTTTGACCACTTGTTTGTGGGATTGTATCCGCTGGAGGACGTCCTCAACCGGATGCACTTGCGGTTCCAGCACGTCGCGCTCTTCTTTGTCAATCACGACGTGGTGGCGGTGCGATGGAAACCCACGGCGTTTTTGCCGTCCAGATTCCGAGTGCTACATGCGACGCATCAGCTGGCGTTGTCGGACAACTTGCTTAGCAACGGGGAGCAACAAGAAACAGTCCGCGGCATCCCGCAAGTGCTCACGGTGCTCCAAGAAATGAAAGCCATGCTGCACGGGCTAGTAGATCGTGTCGAGTTGAAATAGAGTGTTGAAGACCCGTATATTTACACGTGTAATCTATCTATTCATGTGCAAACAAAAAGCAACGAAGCTTACATATGTTGGACAACACTGCACATTATATTCAAGATTGGTGCCTTTCATGAAGGGATATGACTTATTATGACACTGTAATACTACGTTGTACAGTACTGTAGTACTTGCACTTTGCACAAGGCATCACTCGTGCGTCCTACTGGTAGTTCGAAACCGATCACTCACTATTAATAGCGTTATACGTCAAAACTGGTACTAGAGGGATAGGTATATGTATCTACATAGCCCCAGTCCAACGGTCCAACGATCGTCTCAATCGTGGTAAACACTTTCTTTGAATGCACATTTGTGGTTGATTACTACAAGTACTACGTACTAGAGTTGAACGTACGTACAAATACTGTAGTAATAGTTGGCCAAACTCTTCGCTGGGAACTTTAGATAACGTTATCAGGAAAGATCGGAAGGGGGGGGTGGTGGAGGGGCTGCAAACACTGAGGTGTACCGGTACTCTTTGCGATGTCGTGTATTATCGTGGAGGACTCGTGGTATCAAACGTTGGTCACCGCATAGCTCTAGAATTATGGGTATAAAGACGAATGTTTTTCAGAAATTTGGCTGTCATTTCGAATACTGTCAGCACCACACTTCCACATTCGCAGAGTCGATACGTTATACTCCGAGTAGATAACGTTCTAAGCTTACTGAGTATAGGCGGCGATGTCCCAGGCAAATTTTGATGCTTACCTGTGGTGACACCCTTTGCACAGTTTTGCATTATTACACGGTCAACAGTGACCTTCACGAGCCTGAAACTTCCTGATACCGTACAGTGCTCATAATGTGCGGTCGCAACCGTCGCGTCCCAACCAAATAACCCAATTAGCATAAGCCAAAAATACAGAAAATATATAGCATGCAATGTTCCCCAAACTGCACTTTGCATCTTTGGTGCGTAGGTACACATGGAGAAGCCCACTGTTCGTCGGCACCTTCAACCTGGTTCTGCTGCAGTGCAATATGGATAAATATCGTGACCAAATATCACATCTATCAGCTGCCCCATACCGGTAATAGTACTACTCAGAGTAAATTGATTCATATTATCCAAACTATTTCACAGTTCTGCAAATTCGAAAATTCCGTAAAGTGCGGCACGTTTCGAAATTTCAATTTATTGGAGTTTGACTTCACACAGCCAAAAATATCGAAGGGGTCCGTCCTGCGAAATCGAAGGCGAGATCTTGAAACGAACACACGATATTTCACGAGCCGTGGGTCCATACAAACGCAATCTCCAAGGAATCAGCAAGTCAATCATCATGCAGTCAAGCCTCATTCATCCATCGTCGCTACCGCCATCGACACCATCGGGCTTTGTGTCCCGTCTCCAAGTGTCCAATCACCGCCATCACCCACTGACCCGGTAGGACATACCTGGCGTATCCTGTCGACGACGTGGTGCTAGTTCTTACTTTTTGTCGCACGTAGGCGCATCCTTCAACTGGCCACGACCCCCGTGACCGCCGATGCTGACGGCGACGACTGCTTCCGGTCGATCGCTGCCGACGACATCGAAATGACGCCTCCATGTACCCCACCTCGGAATGCCAAGCGGCCGCGGGAGGATGAGCCACCGCGCCACCGGATTCCGCCATCCACGAGGCTGTCACCACGAAGGGCCGAGTTGGTGGCGTCGTGCGGCCTGCCGTTTTGGGATGAGTTCGACGGCCCCAGTGCCGCCGACGTGACCATGTCGTTAAGAGCACAGGACGATGCTTGGCCAGCCATAGCAGCCGCCCTTCGACGAAGGCCACAAAGATGAATCACCCGAGCGCACTACCAGTATTTAAGTAAATTATTCCGTGAATAGTAAATGAATCATATGCCCGAGTTCAGTTGTTGCTATTTCACCAACCTTGGACAAGAGGACATTGAAGTTTGGGTGAACGCAATATGCTCTTCAACTAACATGATTTCACAACCAAGATTACATACTAATTCGAACGGGCACGAGAGTGTTTGCACTGTGAATTCCCATGTAGTACTTTTGACTAGCGTTCGTACGTACTGTACAGTACTTGACCACACCTCGTCTGCCTCAATGGTAGTATATCGTTCGTTATCAACTTGGATGACTCCGTGGCGGTGATACATTGATAGAATATATATATATGTGTTGTTAATCGGAAGGCAATCGGGGGTCGGACGAGAGGTTGGTTGTTGTTTACTCGGCAATGTCGTCGGCTTCGTTGGACGCGGCCTGCAGCTTTTCAATGTCCTCTTTGGTCACGAGTCCGCTGGCCACGAGTCGGTCCTGTTCGTACTTGGCGTTGTTCTTGGCCCGCTTGGTATCGCGTCGCACCTTTTTCTTGGACGCGGGTGGCTTTCCGACAGTCTTCTTGTCGCCCTTGGCGTTCACAAACACCTTCTTCTGGTTCTTCATTTCCGTGCGCTTCTTCCTGTGCAACTTGACCTTCTTCACGTTAAAGCGCTGGACGGACGAGTCATGCTTGGTCATGGTGCTGGCCACGGGTACTTATCCACAGTGTGCTGTCATAATCGCACCCGAAATAGCTTGCAAACATCGGTCTGGTTATACACCAACCAATTGCTGGATCCAGTATCCGGAAAGGGCTCCGGATAATTGTCATTTATAACTGGAACTATGCAATGTCGATGCAATGCACCGCTACAGTACTCTGAAAGTAACTTCACTACTATGTAGTACTACTACGTAGTAGAGTACAATTGTCCTGCACTTTTAGCCCACCTCCACTAGCAACAGAGATACTGGTACATGTAGCCTCGTGAATGAAGCCACGACCAAGTTGTCGATGAATAAATGAATGCTATGGGTTTAGATGATGGCTTGATGCCAGGATAAATGAATAGATCATGAAACCACCAAAATGGATCTGTCGTGTTAACTAATTACTGTACTACTAGTATTAATAGTATGTATTATTAATAATATTAATACTAAGTAGTACTAGTAGATAGTTAGTTGACATGGTCATAGCGAGACTGCAACACGTTCAACATGGCCACGTTCAGGTGCCACGGATCGCTCACGATTTGGTTTGTGTACGGTAAAGTGGTCGTATACGGGGCCGGGCCAAACTCGGGAGTAATCGTGGTAGTATTTCCTGCCTTGACAATGGTATCCCACCACGAGAGATGGGCCGCATACGCATCTGCATGCTCAGGTGCTCGAAAGTCGGTCACTTGCGGTCCTTCCGCGTGGCCGACCCGCGCATGGATGTGTCGAACGCGGGGGAATATGACGTTCTGGAGCAACTCGCTCTGGTCGTCGAGCAACGACTCGCACGCCACGCACCAGTGTGACAGGTCGGCATTGAGTTCTAGGTCAGGAAACGAGTCCAAATATGGCAGCACGAGCATGGGGTGGCCACTGAACCGACTGCGGTGAATTTCATGCACAATGCGTACGCCTACGAAAACCTCTCCTTGAGAATGCGACTGAGGGGGTACTCACTTTATACCAGTGTCCTGAGCGATTTGCTCGGAAAGTTCCAAAAGCTGACTGTTTTGCTCAAACGAGTAGAAATCCTTGCCCGTGTGGGTGTTGATAAACAACGGGGAAGCCGCGGCGGCGTTGCGAAGGTACACTTCCAGTGCCGCTTTGTGTTCGTGAAAGTTGGGCACCATAGCTGTCTCCCACTGCTGGGCAATCAGGTCAAGCCCAGCATCGCGAATACGCCGAGTCCACCCGTCTCGCTCCTGTGTGTCCAAAGGCAACGACATCTCAATGCCGTCAAAGCCAGCGCTTGTCACTCGCGCAATGAAGTCATCTGGAGACAGATGGGCGCTTCCCCAATGCGGCGCAAACACTTTGACTGGTGTCTTCCTGGCTGCCAGCGTCGTTGCATGTCGACGGACCGCACGATGCAACATCATCTTGTTGACTCTGAAATCAGATTTGATTTCGTGTAGTATTTTGGGAAATAGTTTACTTCATATTTGGAAATATGTGAAATAGAAAACAATGAAAACCAGGGATACTACTTGAATACTACAGACTGTAGTAGTATTACTAGATTACTACTGTACTAGGCTTTCCCATTGCCATGGACTTCTACACTGCGCCGCAAGAGTGTTATGACGTCGGCTGGAAGGGCGGCTTTAAAGACTGAACTTCCAGCTACGATCATATTCGCTCCAGCTTTCGCAGCAGCATCAATGGTGGAAGGACCGAGGCCGCCATCGACCTCAATGTCCAGGGTGGGGAAGCGTTCGCGGAGAAACGATACCTTGGGCATCATGTCGGCCATGAAGCTCTGTCCACCAAAGCCTGGTTCTACGGTCATCACGAGTACCATGTCGACCAGCGACACAAGCGGCAACACACTTTCGACGGCAGTTCCAGGCTTCAAAGCCACGCCGACTTTCATCCCTATGTATGCACAGACGGGTAGTGCAACAAGTAAGTGGACTGGGATGGCGTACCTGCGGCGCGGATTTGTCGGATGAGCGCTTCGGGGTTCGACGTCGATTCCAAGTGGAACGTAAACTGATCGCCACCAGCATCCTTGATGTCATCCACCCACTTCTCTGGTTCTGACACCATCATGTGCACGTCGAAGAACGCGTTCGTGTGCTGACGCAAGCTCTTGATCACGGGGGCACCCCACGTGATGTTAGGGACGAAGTGGCCGTCCATGACGTCCAAGTGAAGGTAGTCCGCACCTGCGGCAACAACCTTGAGCGCTTCGTCTTTCAGGCAGGACAGGTCCGACGCGAGCATCGACGGCCCGATCTTACATACACAAGAATGGCACATTGCGCAGCAAATTTGCAAATGTAGCGCGAGACAATGATGGTTCACCGTCATTTTATTTAAAGCTGTGCGTATTTATACTTTGGCTTTGTATGATTCTCGAATAAAAATATTTGAAAATGTCCTCCGTCCTTGAAGCTATGGTCTTCCGACTTCGCCCATCCCAAGGGCTAGTTGGTATAGCTAATCCACTAATTATACTATTTTTATTTGAATCAAGAACTAAAAGATACGCGTCAATGAAAACATAATACAATATACAGCTTATGTTTGCTTGGATAGTGCATTTTATACATCTGACATATATAGTATTGGTGGCTCCGCCATGACTGGCCCAAACCAAACGATTGTTTCCACGGAGCACCTATCGCCATGTCGACGACCGCCGCGACCAAGCAGTTGGCCGACCTGAGCCGTAAGATCTTTCAACGTCTGCCGCAGAACAACATCAAGTCAGGGAACAAGATCATCAGCGCGCAGTTGAAGGGAGACAAGGTCGCGTCTTGGTTCAACAAGCCGCTGGTGTTGGGCATGGGCGGGTACTCGGAGTACTACCAAAAGGTCAACCAGTATCGACTGGACACGAACGCCACACTCAAGCAACAAGGCCGTGGTCCGCCAAAGAAGGGTGCTGGCAAGCGATCGCAAAAGAAGAAGTAGATGTTCAATACAGAATCCGCATCCCCACAATACATATACTCCCATTCCCACGCTGCACTAACTCAGAATCCGCATCCCCACATACATATACATACTCCCATTCCCACGCTGCACCAACATGGCATCCAGTGTCCATACCACGCACACGGGGCTTGGATAAGTTGCAATACGTGTTCGACAGCAACTCCCAAGTTTGTTTTCGGCTGAGTACATTTTGGACGATCCAGTGCATTGCTATCGTAGTCGCTGCGATCAGAGTCACATTGGGGATTGAAACAGCCAAGTCGCATTATCTGTCGCGCTACAGTACATCCAACGACGACAGCCATACACACATGACGTAGCGTCGCGTAACGACGCGTGGATTCCAGTACGTTGCAAGGTCCAATTCAATCGAGTGGAGTTCCCGGCTTACATGAGGCAATGGGATTCAGGGGCAAATCCACAGCAACTTCCGTTCGAATCACCTCCGGACCTTCGTCGGGGACGTTGCAATACGATTATTATTTTTTGAATCCAAGGTTCACATACCCCAAGTGGGGCCAAGCTCGCCATACACTTTGGAACGGAAGTTAGACTTGTGTTGGACAGCATTAGCACACTCACTTCATAATTCGTCAAACCAGCAAAGTCATGTCTTCAAGGGGGTAGAGTCCATCGTTAAAACCCAGTAACGTTACTGGTTGGAAAATCTCCGGCATTGTCGCACCGGTGGGGATACTCTAACGACAGATTCGAGTGTCGTCGCTCAAGTCACATTGACTCACTTGCAACAAACAAAGACGTGCCACCCCCCCCCTCATGCGTCTGGGCATGTGCCCACGTCGATGCTGCTGTCATGACTAAGATCTTGGCAGATAATGCGGAGGTACGCCACAGCGTATTCTTAATCGAGAGCAATCGCGTACGCACATGTACTTCGAGCGCTTGCTTTTGCTCGTTGAAAACTTTCCGGCTGCTCATTGTGCCTGTGTTACCTCAGGTTTCGTCAAATGTAAGCTAGCCGTTAGTAATTCTGGTATACATGCTTGACGCGTTGTCATGGAAACACGAGACGAAGTACGTGTGATGAGCCCGAGACTATACAGCCTAAGAGAGGAGAGAGGGAAGTACTGTTTGATAGGCTGAATTAACAGTAAGATATTTTTGGGGAATCAAATCGTGAGGTCGATTTATTGATAACGTTATGGTGCAAGTCATCTAAAGACTACAAAAAAATGCCTTGTCTTTTCGACAGCTATTTCAACTTTTATATTCATATTTCTTAGGAAAATTAGCTGTAATATAACGATAGAGCTGGACAAGCCAACAGAAGTTACGGTTCAGATTCCGATTGGTGAAAAATTGGTCGAGTAATATTGTGGATTCGGTACAAATTTCCATCGAATCTCGCCGCCGAATCGAATCACGAATTGACCCTATTGGCTAATCCAATTTTGAGTGGATTGGATTGGCTCATACAGAAAGGACAAGTATATTCAACCAATCAGAACTCCAGCGTGAATCAATATTGATCCACGATATTGGTTAGACAAACCATGCGAATTTTGGAAGTAAACCAACCAGCCTTTTGTACTACTTGAAGTAACGTGAACTCTCAATTATGAGCCGAGTAGGCCGAGCAGGTTTACCCAATAGAAATCCAGATTTCATTTGATTGAATAAAATAGATCACTCCAAAAAGTAGTACCTTTATTACCTTATGCTGTAATGTTGATGAAATTAGTCAAATTTGCCTCCAATATACGATACTTGTGTAAACATTATATTCCTCTATAGATTGGTTTTGTTTCAGAATGCAACACCTCAACTACTCAATAGTTTAAACAAGCCCTGCAACCTCGGAACCCCGATACCCCGTAGCCCTGTAATCATTACTCCATGGATACATATAATGCTCACTCTCCAGGGTTATGCACATCGCCAGTGGTAAGCTACCGCCAATGAGTCTAGCCCCTACAGTCGTACCATGTGTGAGTGGTTACTATAAAAGGTATTCTTATTATTTATATCATATGTCAGATTTTACTCGGAAATCAACACTTGTTTATTATGTACGCTCGGAAAGTACTGTACCTCGGCCAACTTAGTCAACTAACAGGTACGGCGCTTTGGTACTTGCTATTGACTGTGAGCTAACGTTAACGTTATAGAATCGTTGTGTTGTCGAGGCTTTGCAATCCTTTCCTCGGTTCCTGGATCACACTTTCATAAATGATGCCACGTATGCTTGGTCTTTATGCCTTCAAAACCAAATACCTGTCTTTTACGTATAATTTGGATTAAAATGTTTCGTATTGCAAGATTTCAAGTAGGCCTTATTTACGTATTTCCTGTATAAACTTATACTCAATACGATGTAAACTCACTCGTCGAAGTAAAAATTCTTGCTCACCTGAGAATAATAAATACCCCACGCCATGGTTGCGCCCGTGCTCCCGCTGCTGCTTCTGCTGCTTGTGAGTGGCCTCCTCCCATGCGAGGCTGCGTTCTGGGCCAACTCGCCGCCTCTCTTCCAGAACTCCCAGAACGTCCGATCGTTCACGAAGGACAACTTTACCGCCGGCGTCCTCATGTCTGACGTGGTGTGGGTCGTCGATTTCTACGCGCCGTGGTGTCCGCATTGCAAGCATTTCGCGCCGCATTTCGAGGGCGTGGCCGACCATTACAGCGACTCGACGACAGTCAAGTATGGAGCCGTGGACTGCACCACAGAAGACAAGCTGTGCGCCGAGTACGAGGTCATGGGGTACCCGCAGTTACGGCTGTTTAACTTGCCAGCCAAAGGGAGTAAGCCACTATCGATGCCGTTCCGCCACAACGGCAAAAAGTTCGATGGCGTGGTCACGTGGGTGGAAGAAGTGTTCGCCGAGCACAACCAGACCACGGGCGTGGATTTACCCGATTTTGACTTGTACAAGGACATTGGCCACGGCGGCACCGCGCCGCCAAAGAAGAAGCATCTTCGTCCTGACATTGCGGTATACCGTCCTCTCCCGAACCTGTCCATCCACTCTCGTCTAACATCATGGCTAGACCAAACAATCGAGCCGCGACCGCCGCGCCGCGCACCTGCGGGACGCCGGCCTCGCCCTCGCGCTGTCACTGGAGACGGGCATGTTTCTCGGCTCGTCCGTGTTAGCCGGAACTAAATACGCCACCGCCGAACGCTGGCTACAACTGCTAATCGCTCGGTTCCCATTAGCCCAGAACCGCCAAGCATTGGCCACGCTGCTGAACCGAATGCAGAGCCAGCGGTCGTGGGCGTTGGCCGAGTGGAAGGACTTGATCGCGACATGGAAGCTGGACGTATTTGGCACCACCTACCCCAGGGATCTCTTCTCCAGACAAGACATGGAGCTATGCACTACCTACACGTGTGGTCTCTGGACGCTATTCCATAGCTTAACCGTATCGCAGTCGTCGGACGCTCTGTCGCGCAAAGACGCGATCGCTGTCGCATTTGGAATCCGCGACTTCGTGTCCAATTTCTTTGGTTGCGAGACTTGCGTGATGCATTTCACAGGGGCCAACCCTGACTCAAAGCTAAATGCGATCGGAGCGACGGGAACTCCCGACCAGCAGCTGCCGTTGTGGCTACATGCGATGCACAATTCAGTGAATGCTCGTACAAAACACTCGCAATTCCCATTGCCTGCCGTACACCGCCCAATACAATGCTATCTATATACACTGTCGGTTCACCCCCTTTTGTGTGCTAGGATTGTCCGACCTGCTACTCCCCCAATAACGCCACAAGCGACCTCGCCGTCGTCGCGTATCTTGAGCAAGAGTACTCCGTGCCGGAATCCGAGACCAAACATATGCCTACACATGGAAAAGAAAGCGGAGTGGACCAAGCATCCATGCTGTATGTGCACAGCATCGGGCAGGTCGAAGTCGGTAGTGTCGTGCTCATGTCTGCATTTGTGATGCTGGCAGTGTACGCCCGATATTATACCCGCGGACTTGCCGCCATGCATCGAATAAACCATGGCGAAAGCGGCAAGCACATGTAAATCATCTCAAAAAGAAAACTCTCGAGACTGTGTATTGTGTTCAACAAATCACCACACAGACTAATTAAGATAACTACTACCGACCGGCATTAAAGTACAACCCAGTATATATATATGTAGTCATCAACTGGTCCCGATACTCTACAAAACTGGCTGTGTGGTGGCCTTTGCTTTCGCCCTATCAACTTTAGCTTATAATCATCGGGGCAAGAAATACGAATGTACTACCCCGACAATAATGTGAAATTTGGTTGTCCCTTTGGGGACATTCGGTGAGGGGAACTTTGTCCCAATTTAGAGTTCGTACACAACGTTACTATTGTTTGCAGCTCCAACGCATCCACAGTTAATAGTATTCGTTCATAATAAATTATTCCGAGTATATATATTTGTATCAATGTAACGAACGGTGGCTTTGTCGTGATTGAAAACAATTTGATCGATCGCGCTAGTTTGGTTGGAACGAGTTTCGAGGGGGGGTTTCCCCATACAAACTTGGCGTCTTGGATACCACAGTACGGGGTTTTGTTGGGTACAGCACCAGGTCAACTAGCGCGGGAGTGGCGGTGGCTTTGTACTGGCCACAGAAACGACGATGGCGCGTCAGTCAGCGAGTCGTCGTCCCCGCTAAAACTCGTTTTGGCAATGATTGCAATGGGATGTCTGCACACGGCGCACTTGTGCGGCGACGCTTGAACGGTCTATGACGTTATACATTAGTATCAAATCAATATTCGAAACTGGATATCGAATAATATGGATTCAAGAACGCCAATCAAAACATCACGTTCTCGTGAATTACAGCCAATCCAAACGATTGACTCGACTCTGTCGAATCACGATGGAATCGACGCTATTGGCTCATCCAATTTCGAGTGGATATATTTGATTGGCTCTTACAGAAAGGACAAATATATTCCAACCAATCAGAACTCCAGCGTGATTCCATATTGATTAGACAAACCGCGCGAATTTAGGAAGTTTATAGCGAATTCACAATATATATATATATATATATATATATATATATACTAATCTTTGTATAGTTTGTACAAGCTTAAATTGTATCAAATGGACGGATTATTCGCATGCTATTTGGCGAAATGATTCAAACAGTCCAAATCTGCGTGCAATGCACCATATGCATATTCATCATATTTTGCCATCCTCCAAACTATATATATATATAAATATATATATGCCAGCCCCTATTGCAACAACGACCCAACCAACCTGCAAACACTGTCGCAGACAATGCCGGTGGAATGTGTGGCCACAAGGCAACTGCATGGCCAAGGTCAAGCGATGGAGGCAGATCACGCAGTGCACGTCGGCGTCAGTCGAATGTAATACAGTCGCAAAGCTACGTCCATGAGATTGGTCAGAATGTTTGTCGTTCTCGAGCAACTTGCGCACACACTCGTACGTTGAGTCGCAAGCAGCGAGGATTTGATGTAGCCGAGCCCATTGATGGTACTGCCTTTGAATGCCCGTGACCGCTTGTCTGGCGTGCAACATCAGCACAAAGTCTAAGAACGACACCCGGAACATCGTGTCGCTGTCCAGCGTGCGTAGCCAAGCGTACTGGCAGCTGGTGGCGACGAGCGAAACCACGTCCAACGCCATATGCGACACCGTTGCCAAGGACGCTTTGCGCTCGTCGGAAGCGATGGCGGCGGCCGTGATGGCGTCGTGGCTGCGATTGGCCGTGTGCGCGAGGAAGAGTTGCAGTCCAAGTTGGAGCCATTGGACAGACAACAGCGCGCATTCCGATAATGCAATGATGCACAGGACGCTTGGAAACGAAAACACGTACAGCGAGAGTCGAGCTGTGAGTCCCAGACTCACGAGAAGGACGAGGAGAGTTGTGCGCACTATCTGCAACGACGTCGCGCCGATCTACACGCAAACACACATGAGAGGAAGCAAGCATGGATGTGGATTACCGTGTCAAGGCGACGACGGAGGGCTGTAAAGAGGGTGTGGACGATGGTGAGCAGCGCCATCCACAGCACGAGGTGCAGCAGAGGCCGGCTGTCGAGGACGGTCCAGTCGATGGCGTTGAAGAGTAAGATGCAGCGAAGCAGAACAAAGGAGAAGGCGGATTCGCGGACATATTTCCACTCGTTGGGAGCGAGGGAGCCAAGTGTGCGGTGAACGATGGCTTGGAACAGTCGCACTAACACGAGCCCAAACACGTTGAGGAGCACGAGGAGGCTCCATTTGGACGCGAGGAGGTGCTGCAAGAGGACGTCGGGGGAAAAGGATAACAACGACGCCTTCTCGTACGCGGAGGCGACAGCCACGACGCCAGCCGCGCAGCTGAAGAACGCATACTTGGCGGCGGCTGCGGGATCGGCGGTGAACGGGGCCGCCATATACTCTTCGAGTGAAACTGGCAAGAAACATATGAGCCAATCAGACAATCAGATGGACTATGCCGGATAATGGATTATCCGGTCCAAGTGAAATCAAAGGT